TCAGGATTCTTTTCTTTAATTTGCAAATAACTAACCCAAACTTAAGTCAAAAATAGAATGTGATAACTCAAGTAGCCAGTGTCATCTGCCCCTAGGTATGGCTAGATCAAGATGCTTAAATGTCATCTGTACCTGGTCATTTTTTCTGTCTCTCAGCTCTACTCTTTCTGGCTGGCATCATTCTTAGCAAACCTTCTGCACCTGTGACCACTGGCAATTTCAAGGTTAAAATTCCTAACTCTAAGTCCAGCAGAAAGACAGCTGTTTTCTTTTTACAATTCTAATAAACTCCTAGAATTGAATCTCACTGGCTCTGACTACATAATATACCCTGATCCTATCACTATGGCCAGAAAGAAAATATTTCTAATTGGGTCCAATGTCCACAGCCAGCCTGAGGTGACTGAGACTGGGGGGGGGGGGAGGTATTGTCAAGGAAACCAGGAAGGAAAAAAACTAAAGTAAAACAGACCTCTGCTGTGCTGAGACCTAGGAAATTGTGTTGGCAAATGAATATTTTGAAACCACAGGTGAGGGCAGAAAGTTAATATTGTCTTTAGCTCCGATTACTCAAAATCATTTACACAGAGATAAACTTACAAATGTTGGTGGGGCTTTATAAATTTTTACTTCCCTCTCTTAAAGGCATCACTATTTATTTTGTCATGCCAGCTGTGGGTATGTTTGTCTTTTATTTTCCTTCTCACCCATCCCATATTGACTGGGCCAACAAATCCTATTGACTCTTCCTTTAAATTACTTCCCTTACTTACTTTTTTCTCTGTTCCCACTGATGGTACTCCAGCAGCTCCAGACTTATATTCTATCCCCCCTGCAGGAATAGCACTTTCTTAGTAAGTCTAGTTTGGGTCAAAGAGTGGCAATCACCAACCTGTTTGGCACCAGAGATCAATCATGTAGAAGCTAGTTTTTCTATGGAAATCATGTAGAAGCTAGTTTTCTATGGGGGTTGGGGTGGGAAGAATGGATTTAGGGTGACTCAAAAACGATTCAGGTCTCTCACATGTGCAGGTCACAGTAGGGTTTGTGCTCCTATGAGAATCCAGTGCTACCCCTGATCTGACAGAAGCAGTAATAGGGATGATGTAAACACAGATGAAGTTTCACTCCTTCTGCTCTGCAGCCTGGTCCATAACTAGTAGCAGTCTGTGGCCTGGCAGTTGGGGGTCCCTTTCTAGAGGACTGATGTGAGTCGTACACCCATTCCTAAACCACATCCTATAGCTAGGGCAAGGCCTGATTGGCCTGACCTGGGTCATGTGACCATCCTGGAGCTGGTCAGGAAGGCAGTCAGCCCTTCCTACATAACCTGGACTAAGATGGGGCAGGGAAAGCTGACAGAGGAAAATCATGGCATCAGTGCCAAAAGAAAGGGAGATTGGCAGTAGGCAGATAAAAATAGATATACTGTGAAAAATTACAGTATCCTAAAAAGAGAGATCAAAGAGGATATCAGAAATGGAAGGATATCCCTTGCTCTTGAAGAGGAAGAATCAACATAGTGAAAATGGCCATACTCCCAAAACTGCTATACAGATTTAATGTAACCCTGATCAAGACACCATTAGCAAGCTGGGTGTATTGACACACATCTGTAATTCTAGCACTCAGGAGGCCGAGGCAGGAGGATCCTCATGAGTTTGAGACATCTGAATATAAAGTGAGCTCAAGGCCAGCCTGAACTGCATAGCAATACCCTGTCTCAAAAAGACACGCACACACACACACACACACACACACACACACACAATAACATTAGCATACCTCACAGATATAGATAAAATATTCCTAAAGTTCATTTGAAAGCAGAAGAGACCTAGAAATGCAAAAGCAATTCTGGGCAACAAAGGAAAATCAGGGGGCTTCACAATTCTGGATCTGAAATTATACCACAAAGCTACTGTGATAAAATCAGCATGGTATTGACAAAAAAAAAAAAAAACAGGCCTGAGGATCAGTGGAACAGAATAAAAGATGCAGACACAACCCCAAACACACTCAGCCACCTTATTTTTGGCAAAGGAGCTACACATGTTCACTAGAAGAAAGACGGTCTGTTTAATAAATGGTGTTAGAAAACGTGGCCTCTACATGCAAAGACTAAAACTAGACTCATGTCTATCACCATATACTAAACTAAAGTAAAAATAGATCAAAGATCTAAATATTAAAATAGAAACACTAACTTACTGGAAGAGAAAATAGGTAGAAATCTCTAAGACAAGTATAGGTAGAGATTTCATGAACAAAACCCAGACTGCAAAGGAAAATATGAAACATTAACAAATGAGAGCTCACCTTATTAAAAAGCATTTTCACAACACTGTAAGTCACCAACAGAGTGAAAAGACAACCCACTGAGGGAAAAATTATAGCCAGTAGTCCCTCAGACAGAGGACTTATATCTAGAACTTATAAACAATTGAAAACATCAGACTTACCCAATTCAAAGACCCAATAAAAAATGATCATCTGAAATGAATACACATTTCTCAGATTAAGAAATATAGATGGCAACTAAATACATGAACAAATGTTCAGCATCTTTGGTCATTTGAGAAATGCAAATTAAAACAACACTGAGATTCCATTTTATCCCAGAAAAAAATGGCTATCATCATCAAAAAATCAACCAATAGCAAATGTTGGCAGGGCTGTGGGGAAAAAGGAACCCTTCTCTACTGTTGGTGAGAGTGTAGACTGGTGCAACTGCTGTGAAAATCAGTGTGGAGATTCTTTTAAAAGCTAGGAATAGAGATTCCCTTCAACCCAGCTATTCCCCTTTTGGGTATCTTTCCAGAAGAATTAAAAACATCATACCACAGCAATATATGTGCATCCATGTTTATAGCAGTATAATTTATAATCAATAAATCTTAGAAACAACCAAAATGCCCATCAATCGAGGCATGAATTAAAAAGATGTAATTTTTTACAATGGAGTGTTACTTGGCCATAAAGAAGAACTGGAGACTTTTATAGGTAAATGGATGCAATATGAGACCATATTCATTAGTGAAATAAATAAAACACACATGTATAAACATTGTATTGCCTCACTAGTGTGAGAAACTCAATGAGTAAATAAGATCCAAAATGTATAGTAAATATTTTAAATTGAGAAAAAGCTCTTCAAAAGAAAAGACAAACTATGATGAGGGAAAGGGGAAAGGAAGAAAAAGAAAAAGGAAAAAATATATATTTATACACAATAGTTAAGATACTTATACATCTAGCTTTTCTGCGTTCATTGAAAAGAAAGGTTTGTGCTAATATTATTTGGACAAGATATCATGCCTATATCTTTTACTCTGAATAACTATTATGAAGACAACAATACACAATGTATTAATTATTGTAACTCTCTTACTAACCTATTTTGAAACTGTTTTATTACTGTTTTTATTTTTTCTCTTTAAAATAAAAACAAACATACGCAGCACACCTAGGAAAAAGCCACATTAGTTCTAAATAGAAAATGTGCTGTATCTGTAGATTAAAACTGATGGACTCACGAAGTCATCTATTCACCCTGGAAGTGTACATAGCAACTGGTTCCCTACCTGAATTCTCCAGTCCCTATTGACTGGCCTTCCTTTGTTGTGCCACTACTAATGAATGCTTTGAACCCCAGAAACACACATACAATAAAATTGCTCACAAAGTTCTTGTTCCCTCTAACCCTTTGGTTCATTGTCCTCTTCCCCAAGTAAGGCAAGGTGTTAGTCGAAGATATAACTTTGGCTGCATATATCAAATACCTCCCAAAATAATAGTTTAAACAAGGTTTTAAAAAGCTGGTTCTGTCTTCTATAACTGGCACTGATTTGGGGGCTCTGCCCTACAAAGTCACCAGCAACCCAGGCTCTCTCCCACAACACAAAGAGTGCTGCTTTTGTTTTCTTGGCCTGAGCTGGTGTCCATGTCTGCCCACAGTGAGAAAAAGACTGCGGAAAAGAAAAATAACCCCTTTCTTTCTGCAATTTTGATTATTATATGCCTAGGTGTAGCTCTTTTTGGGTTGGCTGGGGTCCTGTATGCCTCATACATCTGAGTATCTTTACCTTTGACTAAATTAGGGAAATTCTCCTGGATTATTTCTGTGAATAGCTTTTGTAGTTCATTTGTTTGTGTCTCTACTTCTTCTTTTATGTTCTTAATTCTTAAGTTATAGATCCTCTTATCATCTTCTAGCCTTTGTATTATTGCTGTTTGTTTTCTTGTTATTTTTAAGAAGTTTTTCATTTCATGCTCCCACCTTACAAATCTGTCCTCCAGTTCAGATAATCTATCCTTAGTTTCTTTCAAGCTGTTATGACAGCTTTCAATAGAGTTTTTAGTTTACTGGTAATCTCTTTGAACCTGCTTCATGTATTCTATGTTTTCTGTATTTTCTCCATCAAACAATTCTCCCCTTTTTTTCCTGTTCTTCCATTCCACCATCTGTTTTTTCATGGGCGGTGCTTAGCATTTCTCTAACTATTCTACTTATATCTTGCTTTATTTCGTTAAATACTTCACTTTTGAACTCGTCTATGAGGCTCCAGAGATATTGCTTTATGTCTATTGGTGCCGCGTCTGATATTGCATGTTTTCTGTCCTCATTCTCCTTTGCATTTACCTTTCCTGGATCAGTGTTCTCAGGATTGGGGACTGAGGACCCTTTCTTGTTGCTCCCTCTTCCCATATTTTTTGTTCCTTCCATACAACCGTATATAGGAGGCCCAGGTTTTTTCTTTGTTGATAACCCCTTTCTTTCAAAGACACAACCTGGACAGTGTATATACTGCTTCCACTCATATCCCCAACCATTCCCATTCCCACATGCACGTGAAAGGAAGGTTGGGAAACATGGTCTTTATTTTGGGGAGCTGTGTTCTGCACTGTAAGAAAAGCAGCCAGATACTGTAAGATAACCAGCAATTCCTGCAAGGAAGAGAAGGAAAAATCTGACTTTTTCCATCCTTTCTGTTTTTCAGATTAACAAGAAGATCCCCCAGTGACTGCAAATGTAGGAAGATCGTAACACTCTGGAGTAAAGAATCAATGCCAGCATGTCTGCCCACTACAGCAGTAACAGCTATGAGAGAGACGCAGATTACCCTGACTATTCAAGGCCTCAGGACCCTAAGAAGGAGTATTTGAAAACTCAGAATTATCGAGATTTTCCAAATTCTCTGAACAATCCAGACTATCCCAGCACCAGGAGCAATGCACACTCCGTAGGCTCTAGAATAAATCTAGACTTTCCTGGGTCTCTAGCAGAACCAGATTATCCTAGATCTCCAAGTACTCCCGATTATCCCCCCATCAGGAATAATCCCTATTCTGAGGATTCCAGGACAGGTTCAGGCTATCACAGATCTCTGCCAGAGCCTGATTATATTGAATCACAGAGCAGTCTACACCACTTAGGCTCGGTCAGAGAGCCAAAGACTCATGGATTTCAAAGAAATTCTGATTTTGAAGATTCCGGAATCAGTGGGAACTATGCAGGTGCCAGAACAAAGCTAGATCGTTTTGGATCCTTGGGAGAAGCAGACTATCCTGGCGCTAAAGGCAACTCTAACCATCCCGGCTCTAGAAGAAATCTAGGTTATGCTGGTCCAAGAGTCAGTCCATACGCAGACTCTCTGGAACAGCCTGATTATCCTGGTGCTGAGAATCAACACAACTCTTCCCACTCTTTTGGGGAACCAGACTATCCTGGTGCTGTGAACCATCAGAATTCTCCAAATGTTTGGGGAGAACCTGATTATCCAGGTGCTAAGGATGGTCATGGTGATAGCTTTTCTGAGACCCAAAAAATGACCAGGTGGTAAGTTGAGGTATATCCCTTCACAGACGAGAAATGAATTGTATGTCGTCAAGTTAATGGAACTTAGTATGTGTGGTTTCAATTAAGGATGGATGTGATGGTCCCATGACTGGGCATTATAGTGAAACTCTCAGATCTATCTATAGACTTCACATGGGCCCTAGATTCCCAGTCTGTGGTGCAAAGCTCTTGTCTGAACTGAATCTCTCACCTCATTTTCCCACATCTTTGTCCAGTCCTTATAACACATCTAGACACTCATTATTTTTCTAAAGGTAGCAAAGTTTTATATCCATTAAAGGTGGGGAAAGAAATGTGCTCTGCAGAGCAAATTTAGGACAAATAAAAGCAGGATAAAAGTACACTCTGCAGCATGAGAAACAGCTACTGTAAAGGAATGTAACCCAGAGCTCAGTGGTGACTATCTTTCCATATCTCCTGTCTCTCAGGCTAATATCAGGTCTAGGCTATCCTATCCCAAATTGTGTGAGTTCTCATGAGAAGTCTATGGGCAGGGCTTTAGGAATTATTCTGCACATGTGCCATGAAGCTTTCCAATTAACAAGTCATATAAACGGGGCTGGGGGTTTAGCTCAGCGGCATAAGTGCCTGCCTTGCAAGCAGGCAGTCGTGAGTTCGATCCCTGATACCGATAAAAACAAAAAAACTGAAAAAGACCAACAAGTCATATAAACTTTCCAAATAAGCCCACCATTCTCTAATCCTCTGAGATTAGATCCTTTAATCCCTCTGAGAGACACATATCCCAGTAATTCTGTTTTCTGCTTGTTTGTTTTTTATCTTTGCAAGACAGAGTTTTGCTATGAAGTACACACTGGCCTTGAATTCACTTTGTAGCCCAGGCTGGCCTGGAACTCACAGCTATCCTATTGCCTCATCCTTCCAAATTCTGGAATTGCTGCCGTGTGCCACCAGGCCCAGCCCCAATAGTTCTTTGAGGTGCTGAAGGAGTGGAGGCAACTGTCTTCATGTAGCTACTTCCTGCTGGAAGAAGTTGTAGGCCTTACCTTTTGGGGTTTATGTGCTTTCCAACTACCTTGGGGTATTGTGGCCAATGATGAACCAAAATGACTGGCAAAGGATGGACTAGATGAAACAAGGCCCTAAGAAATTTCCTCAACCATGATATCCAGAGATAAAAGATCATCTAGGAGGGAAATGCAGATGAGACTCTGAGCACAAAAAGGAATAAACTGGGATAGGCCTCTACTCAAGCCAGAGACATGTCACCGATAGCTAGGCTGAATGATGTTGATGATGATGGTGCTGATGGTGATGATGATGATAACCTGTCAGAAGATAATGAGAAAAGAGTTAGTGGCTACTGAGCTACCTGTTCAATGGGGAAAAGTTTGGTGAATTTGTTAAGAGAGTAACAGGTTGGGGATACAGAACGGGTTTCTGTGCTTTCTGTGGAGGACAAAGTATGGTAAAGAAGGATATTAGATGGATGTGGAGAGTCTGACAGCAGTAGCCTTAGCAAGCCTGCTCACATGAAAGCTGGGTCCAGCAGTGCATGTCTGTGGTCCCAGCACTAGTGTACCGGAGGCAGGGGGATCACTGAGTGTTAAAGGCCAGCCTAAACTACACAGTGAGTTTAAGGGCAGCCTGAATTATATAGCAGAACTACATAGCCTGAATGATCTTAAACAAAAGCATAAAACAAAAAATTACCCATATTATGGATCTAATTAAAAACAAGGTCTCACTGCAGATGCCTGTTTTAAACTGTGCTGAATCAGGGTCATTAGTGACTCTACTTCTCTGCACCTAGTGCAGTGCTGGAGTTTTGCTTTTGGAAGAGGAGCCCCAGTTCTCCCAGAGGTACACAGGAGTAGCTTTCTTTTGGGGGATGGTCTTTGTCATCATAGAGTTCAGCCCGAGCTGGCTATATAATTGCCAGTCCTCCCTAGTGTAAGTGCCTCTCCTCTGCACAAGTTCTAACAAAGATGGAGCTGATCTGAGCTTCAAAAGATTAGTGGGCAAGCTCTTCAGACATGTCTGGTGGTCTCTGCTAGTCCCAGTCCTGTGAAAATTCAGGTGACGTTTTTTTCTATGTAGGGTTTTTATAGCTTGTCATTGTATCCCATGAGGAAAAACCAGTTCAGTGGTGCCTCAAGAACTTGATAACTAGGGTCTTGAGGATCTGTAAGCCTTCCCTTCTTGCCTCTCTACTAACCAGTCTTTTGATTTCCCAAGGAAACTTTAGACATGTCTCTCTGGGGTCCCTTACAATGAATGACAATAACCTGCATGGCAAGATAGACTGCCTTTAAGAGTTGTAGGATTTCCTGCTTATGCTTTGTAGATGATTGTTTATTAGTTAGCAAGTTCCTTTTTTCCAAATTGCTGCATGGGCATATAGCACAGAAAGGCATGTTTAATTTTGTGTCAATGCCTGAGTAAGGACTATGAGCTGTAGCTGTTTTGTTTTGTTTTTGAGCAGAGATCCCTGAGGGAAGGGCTTGTCTTCAGTGACCTGTTGTGAACTGACAGCTGCAAGACCTGACTTTGTGTCCTTCTTGGACAAAGTTACTGCTGCCAATGAACCATGCCTCCTCAGGGTTTGGAGGGGCAAGTCACTGAAATTCTGTCTATTTGCATAGGTCTGGGAAATCAACTATTCACAACAGTGCCTAATTTCTGAGCTTGTAGGTACCAAAGAGGTAGGATTAAGAGTATTGCAAATTTTTATATGCACCTCAGGGGTGTCCTAGAAGCGTGGCGTGGCATAGTCCCAACAGGCAAAATCTGCTTTGGCCTCTGCTGGATTTGGAGAAATGTCACCGATTTTTCTAAGAAATCTTTTTTTATTAGTAAAGGAACAGGTTGCTGTGGGACAATTAAAAACTCAGGGTTGAAATTTGATATTTCAAGTGACACATCAAAGCAGGACAAAGAAAATCTGACTAGGGTGCTCCTTGACCCCAGTTAGATCTAGAGGACAGTTTTTAGAGAAAGAAGTTAAAACAGAAACCAAAGGAATTGAAATATTTACCCATGACATCCAGGGTCACCCTGGGTTTTGCATAGGAGATGGAGATAGCTGTGGATGGTACATTTTAGGTTGCCCAGGATCCCTCCAGTCTTCCTCGAAGAGGGAGGTGACATTTTTGGCTGGCTTAGCTCCTTTCTGGGAGTGGGGACAGTTAATCCTACAGTGCCATGAGTCAGACACACTGACCACCTGGAATACAGAGCAGGGCCCACCTGGTGGTGAGGTGATACAGTCAAGTGCCCAGGGTCCAATTTTTTTTTTTTTTGTAGCCCTTTATTGGGACTACATGGATGACTTGCATGTATTTAAAGCACTACCAATCGGAGCACCATGGTTTTGGTTTATCCTTTCTTTCCCTCATCCTTTCTCCTTTTATCTTCATCTAGATCCCAATTGTTGAACACAGAAAAGGCCGTGTCCAGCAATTGGTCATCTTTAAAAATACCGAATCTCTCTGGGGCACTAGCCTTTAGTGGGAACAGGTGGGAGAGACCCCTATCCCTGTGAAAGACGGTGGGCCTCTGAGAACAGCGTATCAGTGATATCAGATTTTTCCTTTGGAGGCCTCGTAAAGTGGCCCTTGGGCCTTTCTAGAGATTAAGAACCATAAAAAACTGGGAAAAAAAGGGGTTTTGCACCACTTTCTTTGCCATTTGCAAAAAAAAAAAAAAATCAAGTTGAAGAGCACTCTTGTAATTTAGACTGCCATTCTGTAACCATCCCTTGCCATTTCCTAGTTCATACTGGACCTAAATATTACAGAGCAGGGAGGAGCCCGGGGGGCTGCAGCTAGCTACCCTCAGGGCCAAATTACTGTCAATTTTTTAGAATGCAGCTTAATGGCAAGGTGTTTGGGATCTGCAGGGTGTTTCTCATAGCCTGTAGAGAGAGACCACTAGGCCTACTGGGTCCTTAAAATGATGTCCCATGCAGCAAGAGGAGACCCAGTGAGAGCATGAAGCATCTCTTGTGAGACTCAAATGCTTACTAAGCAGATGTCTCTGCTCAAAGCTAAGGGTGGCACTGGTGTCTTCCTGGAAGGGCCCACCAACTCAGGAAGAACAATGGAACCCTTTAGCAGCTCCCTTAGAAACTCCCTTCCATCAGGCTCCCTGCCCAGGGACTCCTTTAGACACTTGAGAAACTGCACCCTTTTCAGAGATCAGGGTGGAGCTACTCAAGAACAATAGCACTTAAGTTCACCCTGATAATAAAAACTGTAGTACCTTAAGGCAGTAGAGATAGACACCACTTTAATATATATGCTGCCACAGTGAGCATGATAGAAACTTTTAAAAATCCTTAAAAGCCTCTGAGGACCAGGCTGACTACTTTCACATACAGCCCCTTGAGTTGAGCTTTACTGACTGTTCCTTTGTTCCACTCAGGCCCCACCAGCGTATGTGACTAAATTACCTGAATTTCTGTTAGAAAAAACAAGGAAAGGACCTAACTCAATTCAAAAGAAAAAAGGGAAGAGGTCCATATGTTTCTCAAAGTCTATGGCTTAACCATTGGCTACAACCTTGAGATTCCCTGAAGATCATAAGGCCAGAAGAAAAAACAAAAACAAAAACGAAGCAAAACACAACAAAGCAAAAACAAAAAAAGGGAAAAGAAAATGGCAAGCAAGCATGGTAGAACCATATGATCCCCCATTTTGACCAACGAAAATGGCTGACAAACATGGCTGAGCCACAGGATGAACCAAAATGGCCACTGAATATCACAGAAAGGTGAACTGGGGTGAAACAAGCCCCTGAGAAAGTGACTCACTAATGATACTCAGAGATCAAAGGCTATGTAGGGGGAAATCACAGATGAGACCTTGAGTACAAAAAGGAATAAATGAGGATAAGCACCTACTGGAGCAGGAGACAAATTACCAATAGTTAGTTTTCCCAAAAGCATGAGAAGGCTGAGCAAATTATCTTGGAGAACAGAAACAAAAGGACGAAAAAGCACACTGAACTCTAGGTCGCACACATTGAATGATCTACTCTGCAACTTGGCTTTTAATAGGCTTTCTGGAACCACTTAACTGATTGAAAACAGGGAAGGGAGATAAACTCGACCTATGGGCCCCTTAGTGGCTGGGAAAAGCACAGAAGCCTTGTGCTTCTCCCCCTCTCTCCCACTAAGAAACTATTCCTAGCACCATAAGAAATCTTCTTGAGTTCTCTAGCTTAGAGATGAGAGAGAGGGAAAGAAAAAAATTATCATATAAGCTTTAGAGAGAAGCAAACAAATAAAAAAAGTAGTACCCAAAAGGGCCTTACCCTCCTGGCTGACTCTGCCAAATATGTTATTAGACTTGGGGGTCCTGCAATCTCCTTCAAGAGGCAGTGTTTGGGTTCCTTCTGTCTTGAGTGAAGACTTGGTCAAGGCAAGCACAAAAGGTAGCAAGATTTTACATTTAGCAAGGGTCAAAAAAGAAATGTGCTCTGCAGAGTGAGTTCGGGCCAAGTAAAAGTAGGAAAATAGTGTGCTTTACATCCTGACTAGACTACTATAAAAGAACACAGTAGCTAGCCACTGTTTATGACCTGACTACATTGCCAACAGAATCAGATTTGATAGCCATGAATCCAAATATTATAACCACAATGGCATCAATAGTAATGGATTTTGTCAATAAAATATTGAAAAGCCAGGTGTAGAAATGCATGCCTAATAATCCCAGCACTCGGGCAATTGAAGCAGGAGGCTCATTGCAAGTGCAAAACCAGCCTGGGCCACAAAGTGAGCTCAAAACCAGCCTCAACTGCATAGCAAGACTCTGTCTCAAAAAGACAAAAAGGAAAACAAAATTGAAAATGTAACTCTATTGAATTTAATATTCTCCCTTCTCCTCCTTTTCCTCCTTCTCCTCTTTTTCTTCTTTTTCTCTTTCTCCTTCTCCTCTTCTTCCTCTTCCTCCTTCTCCTTCTCCTCCTCCTCCTTCTTCTTCTTCTTCTTCTTTTTTTTTTTTTTTTTTTTTTTTTGCGTTCTGGTAGTACCAAGAACAAAATCCAGGGTTTTGCATGTGCTCAATCCAGCTCAAGTGTCTACTGCTGGGCTACACCCCCTGCCCTCCTCAATTTGTTTTTTATACAAGATGTTTAAGCCACTTCTGATTTTCTCCACTTTCATTTATATCTTACAAAAATTATTGTTTCCAGAAGCAATTACTTTTGATGTAAACATTGCTACAAATTTGATTCTTTTGATATTTAGTATTGCTATTTTCATCAGATTGTATTTTTGCCACTGTCAGAATGTCTTTAAATTTAATTTTAAATATCAAGTTCAATTCCTACTGGTTCCAATTCTGTAGATCTAAATTTTTTACTGAAGCATTTTAACTTTTTGTCAACTTTTAAATTTTTTATCAGCAAATTTTACCAGGTGCAGTTCTCATTATTTATAGCATTAGTTTGGGTAACTTAGTTCTATCAAATTTTATTTTTCCCAGGTGAAGATTTTCAGTGTTCATATTCACAAGATATATTTCTTTAGTCAGTTTTTAAAACTATAACATGCTTTATCATGTGTAATTTTATTTATTTAAAAAAATTGTTTTGCAGTGCTGGGGATCCAAGCTGGGCCTTGCATGTGCTAGACAAATGCTTTAGTACTGAATTACACCCCCATCTCTGTGTAAAATTTTAACTGATACGAGTTTTATTTAGCATTTAGTATGTCTCCTAGTAGTAGCTATGAACTAATTAAAACCCACAGCCTTGTATTTAACTCTGAGAATAAGGATATAGGATTTGGGTGTGCAACAGTTAAAATATCTTTTGCACCTGAAAAGTAGGATTAACAGAATCAGGGGCTAAATACCCTCCTTCACCTTATTGCTCATTTCCTGAGTCATCATTGCAAGGAACACCTTTGTTTCTGTCATTTTCTGTATGCCCCGTTACCTGTGGGAGAAAGGCCACATCGCTTCACTTACAGAGCATTTGTGAGTGAGGGGATGCTGATTCATCTGGCTCTCCTGTCCGCTCCCTGCCCCAACCCTGCACTCAGTAACTTTGGCCAGTCCTTTGAGTTACTTCATCATCGGGGAAACTTTAAAAGTAAAAATCATACAGATGCCTGGGCCCAACTTTTAGAGCTTCAGATTTAATGGTCTGGTATGGGGCTTGGGAACTGGTATATGTAAAATTGAAAATTATTGTTACAAATTAATTAATTTTTATAACATTTCCTTTATTCCACACTGTCTGGCCTCACACCTTTATTTACTTTCCTCATCCTTCAACTACATATGAATTTTCTCTCAGTCTTCTCTCAGATGTCTCTTTACTGTTTCCCCCAAAACTTCTAGCTAGAATTCGCTCCTTCCTCTGAATACTTTGGGCCCTCTTTTGATGCCCATCAGCTTCTACCTGTATTGTAATCATCCTTTGCTGTGTCTGAGACACAACGTCTGCTGGGCATGATGGTGCAGTCCTGTAATCCCAGCACTTGGGAGGTTGAGGCAGGCAGATTGTTGTGAATTTGAGGACAGCCTGAACTGTCTAGTGAGACCATGTCTCAAAAATAACGTCATCACCACCAAAATTAATACCTATGTCTTTATCTTTGCACCTTCACTGTCTTACCCATGCCTAACACATGGTTGATATTCAGCTGCCATTTGCAGAATGGATGGAAAGGTGGATAGACTGGTGAATGGCGGTTCTTACCCATCATTTTGGGTGAAAGGTGACCCATCATTTTGGGATTTTAGGGTGCTAAGCGGAACATCTTCAGTTCAGCTCTCATTTCATTGCAGGGGTAATGGGCCCTTGGGCATCCTTGGAAGACAGCATGAAGGTTACCCTGAAAGCGTTGAAATGACATCAGTGAAGGTGGCAAATCCATATGGCCCCTCTCTACCAAGTGATCCTAGAAATGGCTATGGTAAGCATGTGTTAAGACCTAAAAGAAAGTAAAATCTGGTGGATTTAGAGGTTAAACAGCCATAGCAATAAAACAATTGGCTTATTGCTTCCCCTTCAAACACCTTCTTTAAATACAAGAGATAAGAAGTTAATGTCTAGGGAAGACTAGTGTAATTGGTGCTCAAAGAGTGCCAGGTAAGGCCTGTTTCCACAGAATTCCATAGAATCTTGTGTGTCCTGTACCTGCCTTATGTGCCAGAGGTAGCCCACTGTGGTTATGTAGACTCAATGTAGCAAGATCCTGAGAGTTCTCAAAGAAAGTCAGAAAAAAATTTTTTTAGCTTGAAGTCTCCTGTATGGGTCCATTTTCCACTGCTGTAACAAAATACCTGAGACTAGGTACTCTGTAAAGAAAATGAGGCTTATAAATAAGTTCACAGGGCAAGGGCAAATGGCCCCATCTGTTTGGCCTCTGGTGAGACTTGACTGCATCACACCAGGGTAGAGAAGCAGAAAGCAGGAAGGAAAACTAGCCACGTGCAGAAGGACCGAGCACATGGGTGGCCTTGCTTTGTAACAACCCACTCTCGGGCGACAAGCATTAATTCCTTCTGAGGACAGCTCCACATGACCTAATTCCTTCTCTGGGCTCTGCCTCTTAAAGGTCCCACTGCATAAACATGGCTACAGTGGAGATCAAGATACCAGCACACGAACTCCTAGAAGGCACATCAAACTATGCCCAAACTAGAGCATTTCTTGAATTTTCATATGCTCTCAAATAATTTTTAAAACTTTAAAATACTTAGTGGGCAAACAAAATCACTTTTGGGGGCATACAAATGCTTATGGGAACCTTTAGTTTAGCATCTCCTAAAGGTGTCTGATTAACAGTTCAGATTCCACAACATATTGAGGGCAAGGAAGAAAGGAAAGGAACCAGACCTATCCTTATGCTACTTTTTCCCCCTAAAAGAGCTAAGATTTTTCTCATGACTTGCACTTTTTAAATGATCAACTCTTTAGCCTTGAAACCAGCTTTGGTGGATTCAATAAATTTCATTTTTAGCTGTGTTAAGTAGTATCATATTCTTATATACATCAAAACTCATGGTGAACAATGAGCTCTGAGTTTCAAAGGAGGAGCTCTTTTTTTTTTGCTATCTGTAAGTCTTTGTTCACAAGTTAAACAAAGCACACACAAATGCTACCTCACGTTACTTTAAACTTACCTAAGAGGTGAGAGTGGGTCACTGAGACTAAGAAAAGTAGCAAGTAGACTCTTTCCATGTGAAAAGTCGAATCATCCTCAGAATCTGTTGTGTGTAAAGAGGTAAGGTGCTCAGCTCCAGGAGACAAAAGAAATTCTAAACAGTTCTTCCTCCAGGAAGAGGCCTTGTTGGAGAGGCCAGTTCGCTATACAGACAGACAAATCCAGGCAGTGTTGTGTAGATGTAGAGCCTGTGGAGGTCAGAAAAGGGAGGATTCAACCAAGAAGAGCACAGAAGATACATGTGCCAGAGATGCTGATTGAGGACTGGTCAGCATGGAGGGTGGATGAGAAAGGGCTTTGGAGGCAGGGTCTTGTGATGAAGTCCATGCTGGCCTCGAACTCCCAATGGTCCTCCTAACTGAACCTCCGAGCAGTGGATTTATAGTTGGGTACTGCCACGCTCAGTTTGAGAGAGGAGTTGAAGAAGGTAGAGAAGAGGGGACAGAGTGCCTCACTGTGTATTCACTCTTTGGCTTATGTCAGGGATATACTCTGATAAACTTATCATAAATTGAAAATACATAAATTAGGAAATGAGTTGAGTACACCTAACCTCAGAATATCCTGGTTTAGCAACATGGCGCACTGTGGAGTTATTTGCCTGGCTGACTAGGAACGGCTGCTGCCCAGCATTGTGAGCAAGGAACACGTACCACATTTCTAGCCTGAAATTTTCAAAATTCAGGGTTTTTTGTAGTGCTGGGGATGGAATGCTCATGCATACTAGGCCAGTGCTCTGCTACTGAGCTACATACCCCTTCCAAATTCAATTTTTGGAAGTCTAGTTTCTATTGATTGCATATTACTTTCCCACTATCACAAAGTAGAAAGATTGTAAGTCAAACTGTCATGTGAAAAACACTGATTGCTAAATATTTGTATGTAAAGTATTCATCCAGGAGCTCAAATGTCAGTTGTTCAGCCCAAGAATATGCTAAACCTCTATCCTTACATTCTCAATAGAAGGGAATAGCAAACCCAACGGGGGTAAAAGGTTGTTTTGAAAGGCTAGAAAACAATCTTACTCTTTTTATATGAAGCACAGCTACACATTGGAGTTCATCAGTAGATCTGTTAAGACTCTTTTGGAAGCTGATAATGAAATCAATGATAAATCTACCTATCCTATCCTAGTGTAATCTGCATGAATAATACCAGATAGGCTTTAAGTGTTTTATCTACCCTGAAACTGCTGGGCATTTTAATTTTATTATCTTGCTTAATCTGTACAACTTCCTTCCAGGAAAGCACTGCTGCTTTGCCTTAGCAGATGGTACAACTGAGGTTCAGAAAGAAATGTGCCCAAAGTCAACCAACTTCTAATCTGACAGAACCAAGATTGGAATCTAGACTCTTTGACCCAAAGCCTGACCTTTTATTTACCCTGAATTATTGTTGAGTAAAATCAGGGCAAATGCAAACAGATTACTTATTGCCTATCTCTCTAGAACACTGCGAATTAAGATGCTTAAAAAAAAAAAAGAAGAGCTGAGCATGGTGGCACACACCTGTAATCCCAGCATTTGAGAGACTGAGGCAGGAGGATTGCTGTGATTTCAAGGGCAGCCTAAACTTCATAGTGAGACTCTGTCTCAAAGAAAGAATAAATAAAGAAGAGAGGAAAGAAAGAAAGAAAGAAAGAAAGAAAGAAAGAAAGAAAGAAAGAAAGAAAGAAAAGAAAGAAGAGAAATGAGAGAAAAGAATCTACCTTCCTTCTCTGAGCTCCTTTGTAAAATAGATGTTGTAGCCCTTAGCAGTCACTTATTTGGTGTCCTTCCCTCCCCTATTCTGGCAAACTGATTCTTAGAAGAACTCATGTTCATCTGTGCATTTCCCAGGCTGTAGGTGATTTTCCCAGGGTGCAGTGCCTGATCCATATTAGATGTATGAGAAATGTTAACTGACTTAATAACATCAATACAAGTTGTATCAGTTCGTGCTGCAAGAATGCTGCATAACAAACAACTCCCAGTACCCTAACTCATACAATAAACAAGCATTTAATTCTCAGTCACATCTGCAGGATTAGTTGGATTTTGGGTGCATCAGGCTGAGTTTGGCTGTGATTGCCTCCAAGTCATGGGGTCTATTTAGGTCTAGTGTTCTCCTTGGACCAGTGAGCTACCTGGGGCATAAATTGGAAGTGGATAAAATAGCAAGCAGAAAATCACAATGTCTTTAATAGCTTTGTCTTGCAGCTGGCACACTGTCACTTCTGCCATTATATTGGTAAAGACAAATCATGTCATCAAGCCCAGTATTAATAAAGATGGGGGAGGTGTAATATTTGCTGGATAACAGATAATCTCTCACAATAGTTAATACAAAAATTAAGAATTGACTACATTACAGGATTATTTAATCATTTTACATATACTCAATTTACTGATTCAATTCTCCCAACAATCCTATATGAAATTCATATTATTATCCCTATTCTAAAACCTCATAGATGTTAAGTAGCATGCCTAGGGACAAACAGGGCTGGGAATTATGCCCAAGCAAGAAATTTCAGAACCTTTGGTAGTTTAATTTTACATGCTAGCCCCATCAAAATGTGCTCCATTTCCTCTGTTGAGAAGTTTACCTTTAATGTTCATCATTGATTGGATAAAAATATATTGACATATGAATGTCAATATATAATATACAATGGTCATGTAGTTGTTTAGAGTAGACAATGTCCCCAAGATGGTCATGCCATATTTTAAGTCTATTCATGTGTTATCATAAAATGCTAGAGCTGGAAGGAATCTTTTTTATTCATTTACAGCAAGTACTTTTCAAATTCTGAACTGTAACTCATTAACAAGTTGTGAAATGATCTTTTTAAACTGGAATAGAATTTTTCAAAAATGATTAAGATGAAAATTAAAATTAAAATAAAACAAAGTAGGAAATCTCAAAGTGAAGTTTCTATAGTTAAAATATTGCTTTGTGACACTTGTTTTAAAATTATATAAGTATAGATGCACCCTGTATCTCAATGTAAGAATTATTTTTAATCATGACTTGTGGTCAGATGAAAAGCATTGACCCAGGTTGGTAATACCTAAAGACAATTGTTTTTATTTTTTGTTCTGTTTTCTACCCAAGATCTTAATCCTGTGTCTGTTAGAACCTCAAAGGCAAAGTCTTGGTGTTCGTAACCATTTCTAACCATTCTCATTAGCACATAACCATTATGTGCTCACCAGTATCTAGGGTCATGAGACTAATGGGCAGTGTCTCCTCCTTTCATTCCAGTGAACCCTGCTTTTGAGGGTGAAAATATCCCTCTTCATGCTAACAGAAACCTACTGTTATCTGAATGTGACTGGCACGAGTCACCCCAAGGTAAGGCTTAGTGGACTGTGAACCCAAACTCAGCCCTAGTGAAGAAACATATTCAAGGAAACCCAAATATTGCCATGTTCTCTTGGCATTTGATGTGGTATTCAGTGCATCATTTGTTTAATCTATACAATGGAGTCTTGTCTTTTTCTTTCCCATCCTTCTCTCCCTCCCTTCCTCTATCCCTCCCTCTTTTTTTCCTTTCTTCCTACTTTCTTGGTGCTGAGGAATAGAACCAAGGCCTTGCACATGGTAAATACTTTCTCTTACTCTTTATATATTCCCCCAACCCATGGAGTTTTATTTCAAGCATGCAGTTTTTCTCTTCTAGATAGCAAGGTATCTTCATTTGGAATCTTCTGCTTGCAAGTGACAAAAACTCAATTCAAATGGGCATTAGTTGCAGAGCATTTATTGGTTCATTTGGTGGGACTGGGATGGGAGAAATTTAAAGAACCTGAAGTGAACTGCTTCCAGCTCCTCATAAGTAACCTGCATGTGGTAGGTATTTTAGAGATATTTGTTGTATTAAATTGTTGCATGAGTTAGAGAAATCAGGGCCTCAAACTCTGAAGTGAGGGTTCAGTACTATCTGGGCTTGCTTGTTTTCCATCTATTTCTCAGCTCTGCTTGACTCAGTTCGTCTATAAACTTGACCTTCTCCATCCTGGTCAGTCAGGCCATCAGCCCCACACAGAAACTGCTCAGCTTGGCTGCCTCCTAGAAAGATCTCCCTTTCTCCCTGGTCTGTCCATCAATGCCAGGGAAAAACTAACCAGTCTGTTTGGGGCATATGCACTTGAACCATTCAATTTTATTATAGGCAACAAATTTGGCTTTAACTGTGAAGGAGAGAGAATGAATGGCTTTAACATTTTTAAAACCACCCTATCCAGCCAGTGTGAGGTTTGAGATGAGAGTCCCCCAAAAGCAGACAGAAGTGATGAAATGGAGGAACTGAATTTCTTTGCTGTTTTGTCTTGCATCAGTTTTTATTCTCAAGCCACATACAATTAATTGATGGGGAGTTTCATGATGAAGTATCACTTTAATGGATCATGCAGAGTGGGCAATCATAAATATTTGTTTATAATTGAATGAATGAGATACCAGTGTCTTGTTTCAGGAAGGGACCACCATAAAGTGCCTGATCTGTCCTGAGTTCAGACCTAGGTTTGACTTATACCTTTACTACTTACTGATTCTGTCACCTAACTTAGGAAAATTACTTTGTGGAGCCTGAGTTTTAGTAATACAATGGGGTTGATGATAGCACCTACTTCATAGGGTGATTGTGAGAAGTAAATGTGTATACTCTGTTAAGGCGTTTGGTCTGCAGTCATAGTAGTTCACCATCATTGCTGAGAAGAGTTCTTGAGTTCCAGTGTTGTGGGAAAACTGAGTCAACTGTAGCCAGGAGCTCAGGAGAAGAAAGGAAATGTCAGCTCATGTCTCGGCTTGTCAGTTTCTCCAACAATTAAATAAATAATTTGATCTCTGAGTCAGGGTTATTGGGCAGAAATTGTTTTCAGGTGTCTGATGCTGATACAGAGCAATAGCTTTGCAATATTTAGATTTATTTGTCTCATGTAACAAGAAGAGTGCATGAAGTCCAAATTTACAACAGTCCTCAAGATGCCCTCAAAGGCTGAGGTTCCTGGCATCTTTCTCCCTTTTAAAAAGAATACCTGGAAGCCACTTGTTTCATTAACTAATGTCTGCCCTTAGCTGCAAAGGAAGCTGGGAAATTCTTACCTGAGTATAGTGGCTGCATAAGAAATTCAGTTTCTGTAGGTATATGAAAAAGAGAATGGATATTAGAAAGAAGACAGCAGTGTCTAACCTCTAGCGGTGACACAGACTTACAACTGAAACACTGTAAACCTACCTGGATTTATACAGGTATATAAAATTATCAGTTCTAGAAATATTAAATTAAAAAACAAAATCTTGCCATCTGACTAAATTCATTAGAAGAATTTCTGTCTTCTGTTTCTAGAATCCCATTGTGTTCTATGAGAACTCTATTTCTAATGTCTTACCTAGCTACCAGGACAGAATTCTCTGCAGGAAAACACATCTCCTCCTAAGAAGACTCCTTAGGGGACAGCTGTGGAGAAATTAAGTTGTGATTTTTGTGGAGCTGGCTGTGGTGACCTCATCCTGGCATTGAAAAATGTGAATGGAGCATACTTGTATCACTGTCCTCACTTGTCCCCTAGTGGGTCCCGGTGGGACAATGGCAGTGTGACTACCTGTGAGGTCTTTGAAGACCCCACAGGTGGAGATTAAGGCTTCTAGGAGTCTAGAGATGCTGTCAGATAATCAAGTGAATGACATCATCATAGAAATTGAGAGCGCTCCTTCTGGAATCCAAAGTCATCCCTCCTCAACTCAGGTTGTTCAAGACAAACCACTGGTAAACCCAGCCTTCGACATGGTTTCATCAACATCTGACATCCATGTGACAGACTCTGTGATTTTCAGCCACAGGAATGACAAAAAGCACAACCAGTTAGAATGTTCAACATCTTTGAATGAATCAATTTCTCAGATCCTTCCTAGCCCGGAACGCCTGGGTATAGACACTGCTTATACTTTCCATGAAACTGTTCAAGGTATAAAACACTGGGGCAGAGTTAGGGCAGTAGCAGAGCAGGCTTCTAAGTTGTCCTCAGATCTTTATTCTTCTTGTCTTGGGAGCTACATCCCCAGTCCTTTAAATTATTTTTTAAATTTTGAGATGTCTCACTAAATAAGTTACTCATTTGCCCAGACATACAATTCACAGTCCTTCTCTCTGGTTACAGATGCGCACTACCTATCGTTCATCCACAGGATTTTTTCTCTTTGAAACATTAAGAAATGTTGCAGGACTAGTAGAAGTGTAGGGAATGGAGGGAGGGTCCACTCTGAGACCTTACGAGTAACAAGAGCTTGTTATTTCACGTGCCTCGTGGTGCCTCCTTTCTGTTAACCATCAAGGTTAGATTTATTTGTTTCTTACACTCTGTATCTTTAGGCAGATATTTCCATCTGCTTAATGAGGAAACTGAGGCTCAAGGAAATTCAGAGACCTGCTGGATGTGGGACTACACACCGATCTACCTGACTACCAAGCCTGAGTCCTTGGCCAGCATACTGTCCTGCTTTGGTCCAGTTCTTCCCCACTGAAGTTTCAGGAGATGCAGTAGATAGGACACCTCTTACTGTCGTATTCATCAAGAGCTTAGCTGAGCTGCCTGACCTGTCTGCACCTGAGGGCAACAAAAACGCTATTTCTATTTCACTCCTTAGTACTCTAGGTGTAAATTCTACTAACTCTCAGTAGTTTCTGGCAGAAGGAAATCTGCTCACACGAAGGCATTTGGTGGGTTTAGCTCCTTCCTGAAAATTGGCATTGTTCCTCACATCGCTCTCTCCCTGCCTTGCTGTGTTTTTCTTTCTTCCCTTCTCCTTTATTCCTCTCTCCTCCCTTCCTTTCTTTATTTCCCTCCCTCCCATCTCTCTCCTCTCCCTCCTTTTTCTCCTTCCTTCCTTCCCTCCCTCCTCCCTTCTCTTCATTTCTTTCTTTGGTGGTCCCGGGGTCTTATCACTGAGTTTCACCCCCAAGCCTCTATTTGTTTGGTTTTGTTCTCTAATATTGAGACAGGGTCTCACTAAGTTGCCAGCCTGGGCACAAGCTTTTGGTCTTCCTATGTTAGCTGGCTAGAGTGCTGGGATTACAGGCATGTATCACCGTACCCAGCTAAACAAAAATTCACCCTTGGCAGAGTGATTCAGTGGCCCTCTTTTGGGGATACCTCCTGCACCTCAACTATGTTATTAAAATGAACCCAGGGTGTCCTCATGAGGAGTTCTGGTTCAATTATGTAAGCCAGGAGCTCTGTCCCTCAGCCGTCTTCAGCCCTAACTGCCCTAATTGGCCTCCCTCACAGATAAGAGAGCAGCCCCAGGTGTCCCTCACAGCCACAGTACTATGCACAGTGCTGGTATGGAACCCAGGGCCTTGTGCCTGCTAGGCAAGTACTATACCACTGAGTTATATCCCAGTCCTTTGTTCTGTTTTTGTACTTTGAGAAGGAAGAAAGCCTTTGCCAAGAGACTTCTCTATAGACCATCACTTGGAGAACATTGCTTTGCCTGGACACCCACAAGGAGGACCTGACCATCAGTACTGTCTAGATTCATTGGGACCTTATGCCTGGGGATGGGCCTGCCCCAGGGAAGCTTGGGAGGGAGGTGGGGTAGATTCCCAAGCACGGTTCTTGCTGTTCACAAGGAAGAATAACTTTGGGGTAGGTGAGAAACAGGCTGTGAATGCCACTTCGGAGGAAAATGTGAATATGAGTCAGCGGAGAAAAGGAGGGGGGTGGAAGAACATATCACAGCAGACAGGCTGCTGGAGTTCAAGGGCAAAGGAAGCAGTGTGAGAAGTTAAAGTGAGAGATAAAAGGTGGCCTGAGCATGACAAGGGATCCAGCTGGCTTTGCTGAAAGGCTTTTTCTTTTCTTTTCTTTTTCTCACAGATAAGAAAGAAACATTGTATTGCAATAGAGCAAAACCTTTGTCCTTTGCTTTGGCTTTGTGCTTTGATACATAGACTGTTTTCTTGGTTATTTTTGCCTGTGATCTTTGGAGTCCCTGGGTCCATATATTCTTCTGTGTTTGTGCTCTTATAAAAACATGCTCTGACTTCAATGCCAATTTTAAATGTTATGACTCTGTTAAAGATGAAGGAAATTGAACTCTATTTATTGTCTTTTGCAGGACAAAAGTTAATCACATCCCTGATACCCATGACATCTAGAGACAGAATTAAAACCATCAGGAACCTGCCAAGGACCATGGAAGAGAAAAGGAGGCTTAGGTACAAACCAAAACTTTCCTTCTCTGTCTTATTTCATGTGAACTTCAAACCTTTATCCTCTCAAAAAGATATGAAATAAATAAATGCATGCAAATAGATCCTCCTTATAGAAGAATTCCAAATAATCTACATAGATACTGGTCTCGGAGTTACCTCTTAACTCCTTTCCCTTGGCTGGCTGGGAGCTGCGCTTGGTGACTTGCTTCCAAAAGGTGAGACTACGGAGAGAGAAAAGGAACTTACTGGTGAATTCTGTTCAGTACTCCCTCAGCCAAGTGCTCAACGCTGAGATTCCCAAAGGGAAGTCAGGTGATGAGAAAGGTGCGAGCCCTCTGAGAATTTTCTCCTAAATCTCAGAGCCTTAGTCTTACCAAGAGAACCAGTGGGCCAGTCCTCCTCCAAAATCCCTGATCCTTGAAACTGTTAAGGTCACTAAACTCTAGGAAAGTCTGAGAAACTGTCACAGAACAGAAGATGCTAAAAAAGATGTGGCAAGTGAAAAAAAAAAAAATAGGAATCCGGACAGGAATAAGAAGGCAAATAAATGCAATGTGGGGACCTGGACAGTTTTAGGACAGAAAGCAGTGATGGTTGGAGAACTAGAAAACTCTGAAGAGAGGAGTTTATGTACCAGTGTTAGTTTCTTGGTTTTGACAAACTTAACAATGAAAAATAAAATGATACCAGACAGCCGGTGAGTAGCATATGGGAACTCTGTATGATCTTTAGTAGTAGTTCCTGTAAAGTGCAAACTACAATTTTAAAAGTTTACTTAAAAAAAAAAGTAATACCTATGAATTTTCCAAGCCCAGAAATTCAAAAAGAATGATGAAGACCATTTTAGCTTTCAGATTGCACATTTATGTCTCCTCCAAAAAAAATCTTGTTTTTGGTGGTGCTCACAGAAAACTTGGGACTAAATCCTCGTCTCCCTCAGGCAGGAGGATGCCTGCTTCACATTGTCCTGCGGGCCCCCAGCCAGCACTTCCCAACTCTTTAACCCACTCTGTGTACAGTAGTATAAAAAGCCTTCAGTACTTCACACAATTTACTCTTTTTATTACTGCATTTATTGTTACTTGTCTTTCTCTTCCACCTAGAATGTCAGCTCCATAAGCCAGAGAAAGTGGGCTCTTTTGCTTAGTGCCTGGGACAGCAGCTGGCACCTAGTAGGTGCTCAGTAGCTGTTTATTCAGAATGAATGAATGAATGAATGAATGAATGACAGTGTCTCATTTTTTTCCTGCCTATCCCTGCAGAAACATAGTTGACAAAGAGAAAAGTAAACAGCCCCATCACACCCTCCACAGTTGCTGGGCTCATTGTTTGGACTCCATTTCTCTGGTAAGTTAGATTCTTTCTTTAAATTTTATTTTATGACTAACATTTAATAATTACACATATTGGTAGAGTATAGTGTCAAAGTTGAACACATGCATCCAAGGTGCACTGATCAAATCAGAGTAATCAGCATTTCCTTCTCCTGACCATGTCTTTGTGTGTGTGTGTGTGTGTGTGTGTGTGTGTGTGTGTGTGTGTGCTACTAGGGGTTGAATATGGCATTTCTGCACATCCCCAATCCTTTTTAGTTTTATTTCTTTATTTTGCGGCAGAGTCTCATTTAGTCACTAAGTTGGCTAGGCTGTGCTTGAACTTCCGATCCTCCTGCCTCAGCCTCCCAGAGTGTTGGAATTATAGACATGTGCTCCCAGGCCAGCCATGTCTTTTCTTTCTCCTCCCCTCCCCATTCTCCTCTTCCCCCTTACTTTCTGCAGCTGAGGATGGAACCCCAGAGTCTGACACATACTCAGCATACACTCTTCAATTTTGGTGCTTTCAAGCTTCACTCTTCTAGATCTTTGTAAACTATATAATAGGTCATTGTGAACTATAATCAACTACCTAATCCCCATATTGCAGAACACCAGTACTTACTCTCTTATCTGTGGGTTGTATCTATTATTCAACCTCCTTTTATCTTTCCTCTCCCAGACTCTTCCAAACATCTTATCATGATTCAACATTTAAACAGATTTTTTGAGCTCCCACTTGTGAGAGGGAATATAAGGTCTTTCTGTGATGATTGCTTTATTTCATTTAATATAATGTCCTCTAGTTTCATTCATTTTGTCAACAGAGTGACAAGATTTTGTTGCTGATGGCCATATAACATCTCATTGTGTTTATATGTGCACCACATCTTCTTTATCCATTCACGCATTAATAGATGCCTAGATTGATTATATAAATTAGATACTGTGAATTGTGGCTCCCTATGCCTGGGCTTGCAGATATCTCTTTGGTATAACGATTTCACTTCTTTTGGATACATACCCAGAAATGGGTTGAGGAGATCAGATAGTATTCCATATTTAGTTGTGGTTTTTTTTTTTCCTAAAACAGGGTTTTGCTCTGAAGTTCAGGCTGGCCTTGAATCACTTTATAGCCTAAACTGGCCTCAAACTTGTAGCCATCCTGCTTCAGCCTCCCACGTGTTGGGATTACAGGTGTGCTCCAGCACACGCAGCCATATTTAGTGTTTTGAGGATCCTCCATAATGAATATCTTGCTCACATTCCCACACTAAAACAAGCCCAGCAAGCAGGTGAAAACAGAACTCAGAGTGAAAATGAAACTCCAGGGCTGTTTCATACCCAGTCCTATAGATGTGGGCACCGGAAGGGGGGTGGGAAGATCTAGGAGGACACAGAGTCCACTGGCCAGCCTGACAGTGCAAGTGTCACCTGTAACAGCGAACTTGGGAAGCCAACAGTAGTAGAACCTTCAAGAGTGGCTGTGGGAACCAGATGAGCTTTGTGAACACACGGCTCACAGCGCGGGGGTGTATGTGTCGTGCTGTAGCAGTGGTGGTCATTTTTTGCTATTATGGCACCTACTCAGGAGATCCTTGTTGAATGAATATCAAACCACTTCCTGGGCTTTCTAACCCCAGGATTATCGGAGATCCAAGAGCAGTCTTTCTGAGTTCTTCAGTTCCATCAGCTTATGGCAAAAGACACTCAAGGTCATCGGAGGCAAGTTTGGAACCAGCGTCCTCTCCTATTTCAACTTCCTGAAGTGGCTTTTGAAGTTCAACATTTTCTCCTTCATCGTGAACTTCAGCTTCATCATAATCCCTCAGCTGACGTTGCCCGGAAGGAACACGCGCCCGTTCACCGGGCTGGAGATCCTCACTGGGGCGGTGAGTGCACCACCTGGCAGGTCAGGCATGTCTGTCCCTTGGGATCAACTACCCAGGCTCTGGTTTTGCCTGGAAGGTGACAGAGGTGAATTATTCAGTATATGTTACCTATGACTTGCTCCCTTTTACCTAATCATAGTGGATGTCTTTTCACGTTGGAACCATGTTTCCTTTGATTTCTACAAAATACAAAGCTCCTTTGGGAAAATTTTTATCATCAAAGATAACCAAGAAAAAATTCACTTTGCCTTCTTTGCTTGTCTAACAGCTCAGTTTAAGATACACTTTTGGAGACTCTTTCATTCTCCATATGCAAACACTGTCTATCAGTGTCATAGATATACAGATAATGATTCTTTTAAAATAAAAGGAGAGCCAGGCATGGTTGCAAACATCTGTAATCCCAGCACCTTGGAGATGGAAGGGAGTGGGGGCAAACGTTTGAGCCCAGTATAGGCAATTGAGTAATTTAACAATTACCAGCAGTGACCATTTTTCATGATTTATTGATTTGTCTTTTTGAGACAGGATCTCACCATGCAGTTCAGACTGGCCTTGAGTTCACTTTGTAGCCCACGTTGATCTCAAACTTACAACAAGCCTCCTGTCTTGGTCTCCTAAGTGCTGGGATTACAGGCCTGTGCCATCATGCTCAGCAATTTTTCTTTTTCTTTTTCTTTGAGGCAGGGCTTCACTCTGTAGCCCAGGCTGGCCTCAAACCCATGGCAATCATCCTGACTCACCCTCCTGGGTGTTGTAATTACAGGTGTGTGCCACGGTGCCCAGTGACCCTGTTTCAAAATAAAGAGTAAAAATAGGATGATGTTCAGGTTCGGTTCAAAGGCCTTGATTTCAATCTCTAATACTAGGGCGGGGAGGAGAGAGAGAGGAGAGAAGGGAAAGAGGAGAGGGGAGAGAAAGGAGAGAAGAGAGAGGGGAGAGTGGCAAGGGGAGAGAGGAGAGAGAGCAAAGCAAAAGGAAGGGAAGGGAAGGGAGGGGACAAGAGAGAGAGGGCTGGGAGGCTGGGATCATAGTAGCTCCTGGAGTGGTAGCTCAGTGACAGAGCACTCGCCTAGCATTAATGGGCTCCATCTCTAGCACTGCAAATGAGCAAATAGAAGCAGCATAGGATGTTACTATATGCTGTGTTTTGTACTTTTTTTGCCTTACTACATATCATAAATATCTTTAGACATCTATGTTATTCTTTTTAATAGCAACCACAATTTATTTACACAGCTCCCTACGGAAGCATCCAGCCCTTGTGTTGAGAGTTAGCCTTAAAGCCATTTCTGCCATTGAGATTCCGCAGAGTAGGAATGACTGAACTATAGCCCCAGAGCCAAATCCAGCCTGCCACCTTCTTTTGTAACTTAATTAACTAATTAATTTTGACTTTTGAGACAAGGTCTCACCATGCAGTTCAGGCTAGCCTTGGGCTCACTTTGCAGCCTAGGTTGGTTTTGAACTTGCAGGTATCTTCCTGCCTCAGCCTCTGGAATGCTGGGATTATAGGTGTGCACCACCTCACCTGGCATTCTTTTGTAAATTTAAAATTAGTTTTTACATACATAAATTATTAAAAAGAAATCAAAAAAGGGAAAAAATTATGAAGCAAGAAAATATTAAGAAATTCAAATTTTTGTGTCTGTAGAGTTCTTTTGGAACACAGCCACACTCATTTTGTCTACTTCTTATCTCTGTATTTTTATGGTCGGATGAGGTTGAGTAGCCGCCAAAGCGGCCATCAGGCTTATAAAACTGAAGCTATTCCCTATGTAATTCTTTGTAGAAAAAGATTTCTGATTCCTGCAGTAGGATGTCCAAAGTAAAGTTTTCCCACTTGTCTTTTATTCTCTTTTCCCATTAAAAAAATCTTCCTTGAGAGAAATGCCATAAAATAGAATTATTGTGTACACTTCTTTTTCACTTCAAGTACCATGTCTATTGTATTTAGGAAGAATTATGAAATGCTTCAAAAAGTACAGAAAAATAAGTACAATAAACACCCATATACCTATTATGTAAATAAGTTTTCTCCATATTTGTTTTATTTCGTTGTTTCTGAGAACAGGTTTTTTTTTTGTTTGTTTGTTTGTTTGTTTGTTTGTTTTTTTGAGACAGGGTCTCACTGTGTATTTCAGACCATCCTTGAACTCACTTTGTAGCCAGACTGGCCTTGAATTTGAGACAATCCTCTTGCCTCCGCCTCCTAAGTGTTAGAATTACAGGCATGCACCACCATGCCTAGTTCTGGAAGCTTTTAAAAGTAAATTTTAGTTATCGGGACATTTTACTCTGAAATTCTTCACTAAAAAATAAGGACATGTTTTTACAGTTATAATACCATTGTCACATTAACTAAAAATATTATTAAAAATCCAAATATTCACATTTTTTGAATGGCATTATCATTTGTCTAGTCAGTCACAATCCTATCAGACCCTAGATTTTGCATTCTGTTTTTTCCCTTTAAATATTTATTAATCAGGGGCTGGGGATTTAGCTCAGCGGCATAAGCGCCTGCCTTAGCAGGCAGTTGTGAGTTCGATCCCAGGTACCGAGGTACCGATAAAAAGGAAAAAGACAAACAAACAAACAAAAAATATTTATTAATCTAGAATAACCTTCCCAACTCCAGCCTTTCTTCTTTTTCTGACACTGGCTTATTATAGAAACTGGAGGCCCTGGTATTCTAACTTCTGAAATTATCTGACTTTTTTCTCGTGATCTGTCTACTTGGTTTCTCTGTTCCTTTTTTCCTGTAAACCAAAATGTAGATGGAAAGGCTTCATTTGTTTCCTACCAAGCGTGTTGCGTCATAATCATGAATAGGTGACAGACACATCTAACACCTCGGTGACCTGCTTTTGGTGATGCTTTGCTTGGTCACTGAGTCCAGATGAGGTGACTGGGTCCCTGCATTTTCACGTCATGCTGCTATATGATGAACTCCGAGAACTGTGCTGGTCCTCAGTGGCCTCAAGCGGGCCTCTTTTTCTTGACAAACCACAGTTGGTCCTCTGAATCCACGCATTCTGACTTGTTTTAATGAACCACAGACTGAAAATATATGGGAAAATATGCATCTGTACTGAACGTGGACAGATTTTTCTTGTTATGCTCTAGACCATACAGCATAACTATTTACATTGTGTTAGATATTGTAAGAAATCTAGAGATAATATAAAGTACATGGGAGGATGTGGGCAGGTTATATGCAGATCATCTGTCATTTTCCATAAAGGACGTAGGCATCTGTAGTGCTTGGTATCTGCAGGGGTCCTGGAGCAGCTCCCCCTCAGATATCAATGGATCACTGTGAATGTCTCCACTGACTGGCCCAAGTTTCCTGCAGGCAGAAATGGTCACTGTGCTGACCACACAACTCATCTTTTTCTCAAGAGCTCCACCTGACCCGGATCTCTTTATTTTCCTCTTCAGGGATCTTTTACAGAAACAGTGATGTACTATGGCTTTTACACCAATTCTACGATCAGGCATGGGAGTAGCGGGCCATCCTATGACATGCAGCTGGCCTATATCTTCACAATTGGAGTGTCCCTGGTCATCTGCTTCTTCAGTTTGCTTTACAGGTACAGAGCGCCTGCATATCCTGATTTGGAGGCTTCTTTGAGGTTTAGGCAAAATTCAAGAAGCTCCAAAATGACTCCCCAAGTAAAAGGTTCTCTGCAGTGTTGACTTTCTACCACTGCCTAATCGTTCCTTGTCCTACAGAGTAACTTATGAAAAAGCAAAGGAAGAGTGGTTTATGTGTGCCTTGGAAGCAGTGGGTCGGGGTGAAAATAAAGATGAGATGACCCAAGCAGTGGTCTGCACAAATGTCAGAGAGGAGGTCAAGATTGGAAATATACACAGAAAATGTGTTCAACCTCTCTACTCAATTGCTAGGTGTACTGTAGCAAAATACAGTGGCACCTCAGTTCATGAACTCACTTATCTCCATGATTCTGCTTACAAACAGAACTGGATGAAAACCAAATCAAATTTCACCCTAAAGTCAACATGGAACCTAACCATTGAATTGGATTTGGCTTTCACTCAGCTTGGTTTGTGATCCGAATCATGAAAAGTTCCAAGTTCATGAATCACTGTAACACAGAGTGTACCACAGGAGAGATTTATTTCACAGTAATGGAGGCCAGAAGTTCAAGAGCAAGGATCACTGGGGTCAATTTCTTCCAAGGACCTCTCTCCTTATTTTTAAATTGACTATTCTCTAGTTTGCATGGGGAAGTACCCCCAGTAGTGCATGTATTAAAAATTGATCCCTGTTTGGCACTATTGGGAGCTGGTAGAAACCTGTAGAGTTGGAGCCTAATGGGAGGTCATCATGTCTTGGGGTGAAGCCCTCGAGTGGATTGTGGGACAAAGCAAGGGAATAGATTCCTCCCTGCGTCTTCTAGAAGATGAATATCCCTGCTTTTGAGACCCATATATTGACTTCTGACTTCCAGGAATAGAAGAGTATAGCTTTGTTATTTTAAGCTTCTAGGTTGGTGGTAATGTGTTGTAGCAGTCACAGGAAATGAATACAACTTTCATAATATCTCTGTGAGGTAGATACTGGTATTATCCTTATTACGTAGATGTGGAAACCAAGTCTTAGAATGGTGAATGGGACAAGGATCCCACAAGGGTCAAACCCAGGACTGGATTATAAGCCAGGTCTCTCTGTTCCAAAGCTGTTGACCTTTAGGTTTGTGCTCACATTGCTTTGGGTGAAGAGTGTAAGGCTCTCTCTTTGGTTCTGCCTTACACTCTGAGTGGTAGGACTGTCCTTCGGCTAATCCCTGTGCTTGTGCCTGCCGTATAACCCTTGGCTATTTGGGTTTCTGCCTTCCCTAGCATGGCCAAGTATTTCCGGAACAACTTCATTAACCCCCACCTGTACTCCAGAGGAATCGCTAAACTTATCTTCTGCTGGGACTTCACTGTCACTCACGAAAAAGCTGTAAAGCTAAAGCAGAAGAACCTTAGCACGGAGATTAGGGTAAGGCAAACTCAGTCTGCCCAGCACCTTCCTGTGGCCCATCTCTTTCCCTCCTCCTCTATGTCTATAACTTCTTAAAGTAATAAAAAATGACTTTTTTATTGCTTGAGCGATTGATAAAAGAGAAAGGTAAATATTTGTAATACCTCACGCGAGTGACGGTGTAGGGAAATGGGCCTTTTCGCCTGCCTTGGCAGCTTCCTGAATTGGTACGGCCTTCCTCAAGGCCAGTTTAGAAATTTATGTCAAAATATTAAATTGCACATTTTTCTTGGCTCCACAGTTCAGGGGTTTATAATTTTACCCTAGAGCAGTGGTTTTCAGTCTAGAACAGTTTTGTTCCTTGGGAACATCTGTCAAAGTTTGAAAATTTCTTTGGTTGTGACTGTTAGGACAAGGAAGCTACTGCTCTCTAGCTGGTAGAGACTGAGTACGCTGCTGAGCATCCTACAAGGAATGGGATTATCCAGCCCAAATGTCAACAATGTAGAGGTTGAGCACTCTGGTCCGTAGGAACAAACTTACAAAGAAGACAGAGCAAGCAGAACTTGTCAAGAGGGACTTGACCAAAATAAACACAGATATAGACTTCTTCCTCTGTGTGGTCCTAGCGTCATTTGTCAAGAAAGAGCCCCAAGGGGCTGGAGATTTAGCTCAAGGGCGTAAGCACCTGCCTTGCAAGTGTGCAGTTGTAAGTTTGATCCCCGGTACAAAAAAAAAATAAAAAGAAAGAAAGAGCCCTGTGACCTTAACAAACTTTCCTCAACAACAGGATTCCGATCTATTATTTCTGTTCCTGTCCCTTCCTCTGAGATAGGAGTGAAGTTTGATGTAGCGATGGATTTCTTGGTCATTTTGACTTCTCCTATAATCCACGCTCAACATGAATTCATGGATCCAGACTAAGGATCTTTGCTCACAGAGGAGAGAGACTTGGATGTCAGCTTGACTTTATTGCATTTGCAGGAGAACCTGTCTGAGATCCTCCAGGAGAATGTCAAGTTCACATTCCGCCAGCAGCTGGCCCGCTTTTCCGCTCACATAGCAGCCTGGCTAGTCTCAACTGGTGTGGCTATTGCCTGCTGTGCAGCTGTATATTACCTGGCTGAGTACAACTCCGAGGTAATCAGACAGCCAAGAATACCAGGGTGCCTGATGGAGAACCAGGTGAAGGGATGGCATGACGGAGGGAAATGGGGGTCTGTGGCTGGCAGTGGGAAGTCACTGACCCAGGGATTCAGAGTCTGCACCTAAGCAAGGGCCCCACATAATGTGAACTCTTGTTAAAGGGCAAGCAGCTCTGGGCTGGGAAGAGATTGGGGAAGAGATGGAAACTTGTGCCACAGCCCTGAGATTGAGTTCTCAACTTTTTCTTTATTGTTCTGTTCCCTGTGCCACCCACTGTGCCTGGCCTAAGTGGGTGTTCAATAAGTCTCATGAGCTTCTGAACTCTGGCAAGCAATGCAATCTTTCGAAGCTTCCAGGAAAGTGATCTTACCTGGCTTTGTAGTTGTGTGGTCAGAATGAGAAATAAGATGTGTGTTTATCAGTGAGTGATAAAAGCATATCATGATTTGGGCATGACTAATTAGTTAGGGGACTTGGCACAGCACTGTGTTTCTGAAGGTTTCAGAATACAGTAAACGGGCTAGTTATAACCAGTTTTCTAACAGACAGAATGGGAGTCACGCAGATTATGCCACTTTCCTTACTGGCTTCCCACTACTTTCAATATAAAATCTAGGGCAAGGGTTGCATCCCAGTGATGCAGCATATGCCTAGCATGTAAAAGCCTTGGATTGCAGTCCCAGAACTACCCCAGACAAACACACACACACTCAAACTATCCTGCATAGCATGATTCCTAGGTATTTTATGACTTGACCTCAAGCACATTGCTAGCTCCAGTCCCCACCACTACCCATATCCCACACCAACAGTGCTAAGTGATTGTATTCAAAGTACCTTGAACATACTACGTACACTTTTCTTCATTCCAAGATAGGAAACTCTTGCACATTCTAACTTCCTTCATCTGGAAAACTCCTACCCCTCTTCTAGACCTTAGCATGGATGTCACCTCCTCTTGGAATCATTCTCTCCCTGCCACCTCTTCTATGCTGAGTTGAGTATATATTGAGTATATATTCTACAGTCTTCTACAAGCTGATCCTAAATAACTTGTCTCACACAGCATTAAAGGTGCCTGCGTATATGTCTGTTTCTTCTCATCATCTGGCTTAATACTTAGTACAGAATTAGTGAGTAAGAAATTAGCAGAAAAGCACAGCTATAATTCCTATTCTCTGGGAGGCTGAGGTAGAGGATCATAAGTTTGTGTGCAGCCTGCGTAAAGGTCCTGAGTTCAACACCCTGTATCACACACACACACACAGAGGATGTGGGACTGAAATTTTGCCACTGGCCATATGAAGATCTTCCCTAAAAGAGGAGAAATTAAACTACAATCTTCAAAGGCCTGGTGTTGTCTACTTAGGGAGGAAGCTATGGTGACCTGCAGGTGGAAAGATTTCTCACTTTCCCTTTTGTCCCGAAGTAAAGGGACACAGCTAAAAAGAGAGAATGCAGAAGTGGTGGAGTCCTTCCCACTGTTTGAACATCTGCCCTATTCCAGGCGGTATCAACCTTTCACACATCTCCACTGGCGACAGTCATTAGTGCGTCCAGTTTCATGGGAATGGTGCCATGTCACTTAGCAGCCTTGGGGCCAGACTTTGTTTATTTGATCTCATTTAATTCCTGCAATGTCTCTACTGGTTGTGTGGTGATTTCCCCATTGTACAGATGTGGAGAGACAGAGATGCCAAGCGCCTAATTCCTGTGCGCAGCTTGTATGTGTAAAGGGGCAGAGGCATTAGAGCCAGGTTAGCCTGGCTCTAAAGATATTGCCAGAGTTCCAAGGGTGTTTTAATACCATCCAGGGGCAAATGGAGTCACAGACCAGCCTTGGAAAGAGAAAATGGGACTGTGAGGCATTAGATAAATCCACTGCCTGACTTATCTAAGACCTGTAGGAAGGCCACCTGGCTGAGGGTAGCCCAGGTTGTAACCAGAGCCACTGCCAGACACTGAGTACCCCCAGAGGAGGAGCATCTCCATGTGTGACACACAGACCCCAGCTCATTTCTGGGGAACCTGAAGAAGATGCCCAAGCTCACATAGGAGAGGACCGGAAATTCCACAGAGTAAAGCCTTTGTACCATGGTTTCAGTAACCTCAGGTGTTTGCACCTCAGTGAGGCAGGGAGTCCCCCAGAATGCCCTTTTCAGCTCAGAGATGTCTTCACTGAGATCTTCTACTTCCTTGCTGAGTGACCCTAAGCAAGTGTCTGCCTCTCTGAGCACCCATGTGCTTGGCTCAGGATAAGTGCTAGATAAACATCATTTAGTAACTAACCCCAGAGGAGCTGCTGTGGGGGCTTTCCTATCACATGACTCTTCTGAGTGAAGCAAAGGGTACAACACCCAGTGGGCATCTCAGTTCTCTCCTCCATCCTTACAGTTCCTGAAGACACACACGAACCCTGGGGCAGTGTTGTTATTGCCTTTTGTGGTGTCCTGCATCAACCTGATTGTGCCACGCTTCTACTCCATGTTTGGGCTGGTGGAGAGGTATGAGATGCCACGGCACGAAGTCTACATCCTCCTGATCCGGTAGGTGTGCCTGTTATATCCAGCATCAGCCTCATTTGCACAGAGTTAGAAGAGTTCAAATATCAAAGTTTAGTTGGACATGGTAGTGCAGGCCTGTAATCCCAGAATTTGAGAGGCTGAGGCAGGAGAATTGCTGTGAGTTTGAGGTCAACTTGAGCTATATAATGAGTTCAAGGCCAATCTGAACTACATAATGAAACAGTGATTCAAACAAAACAAAATCAAAGTTCCACACTCCAGAAAGAAGCAGTTTCATGTTGTGGTCAATAGCAATAAAAGAACTCTGGGAAGATGCTTTTGCTAAGTCTCAGTGCCTTTTGCTCAAAGTAACAGCTTACCTTTACCAGGGGCAGATGAAGTCATAGTCCTGCCTTGAGACACACATAGTTCTCAAGTATAACAAGACAGTTGAACAGACAGTGCACTATACCAAGGCTCCTGACTGAGAAGCCTTGTGTGGGGACTGAAATTATCCATTGTCAAACTGTGATTCAGCCGCCCAAACAGAGACCGGAGGAGTGCTTTTGGCAGTTCACTGGTCCAGGGCAGGTGCCTTTTGGTGACTCCCATAAGGCATCCTGTGCACTCGAGGTAACCCTGCGATTTTGAAAAACAAAGGCTAAAACTACCCAAATTTTGTCCTTATAGCTTTTTCCAAGCCAGTTCCTGATCAGTTAGTTCTCGGTTATGACAATAAGTCTGTGTGGTGCAAAGTGAGCATCTATCTGTATGATAATTCCAGAGCTTGATCCTTACCTCGGCTGCCCCACCAGCCTCATTTCCTACCTCTTTCTGTCTTGATCCCCACCCTCTCCCTCACCAACTTCTTAAGTGCGCCCAAGCACACCAGACTCTGTACCTGCCTCTGGGTCTTGACTCTGGCTGTTCTTTCTGCCTGGAATGCTCTTCCTGCAGATTGCCCCATGACTCCCTTCCTGACTTTATTTTGGCTTCTGCTCAAGTGTTACCCACTCAGAGAGCTATTCCCTGGCCACCTGATTACAATAACAGCTCCTCACTGCCCTTTCTTCCTTGCATTATGGTTTTCTTACTTGTTCTTAATGTATTTTTATTGATTGATAATTTCCTTTCCCATAATTGATGGGGGAAATCTTTGCTTTGCTCACAATGGCTAGGACTTAATAGATACCCAAGAATAATTGGAAGGTGAATGAATTAGCAAATCAATCAATCTGTCAATTATACTTGACTCATTGTGAAATGAACCATAGGTGATTCCTATACCCTCATTTCTCCTCCATATCCCACCCTCTGGGATAGAATACCATTTTTTAGGTATGTATGGCAGAGGGAAATGTTATGTCTCATTGTCATCTCAAAATTTTGCACATTGGCTAAGATCAACACAAAATACCATGTACCTGGTGATAACATTGGAAAGATCAAGGGGAATGATTCATTAAAGTGCTCAGCAGGGTATCCTGGGTCAACACCCAATGCATATTAGGCACAGTACATTTACTATTATTTTAATGAGATTTTAATGAGAAATTAAAATCAGTTCATACAGAACAAAAGAGAGTGTATCGTCACATAAATTGGATGAGGCTGCAGTAATAAAAAGAAACTCCAAGTATCAGTGTCTTGGAACACAAAATTTTCTTCTTTGTGCATGCTACACTTGCATTATGGATTGGCAGGAGGGTTCTGCTCCAGTTAATCAGTGAGAAGTCCATTCCATGGCAACAGTGGCCGTCTCAGGCTGCTGATGGCAATTCCAAGGAAAATTCAGGATCTCACATTGCATTCAGAGCTCTGCAGCACCCACCACTTATTTTCGCAATTCACTTGCTAGATAGAACTGGCCAGAGGTTGGTGGGACAGAGACTTCTGTCCTATTATGTGCCCAAAAGGAATTATTGTTAGGAAGCATGGGAGACTATTGTGGAGAGTAATGGTCATAATTTTCTCTTCTGTTATTTAGAAATGTCTTCCTAAAAATGTCAATCATTGGAATTCTCTGTTATTATTGGCTCAACACTGTGGCACTGTCTGATGAAGAGGTGAGATTTCCACACTGCTCTGCCCTTAATTTGGTTTGGTAGTCTTTGCTCACTGCGGGTATATGGGTTTCTTGATGGTCACCAACATCCTATTTGCATGAACCCCTTTGGGAGGAGACCAGGAGCTAGTGTAGCAGGCAGCATAAGGTAGGGTTAATGGGGAAGGCTCAGTGAGAAATTCCTAGACCTAGGCATTCTTGGCTTGAAGACCAGCTGTGTCTTCCACAGTCACCTAATCTCTTTAAGTTTCAGCTTTCTCAGCTGTAAATGTAGGAATTAAACAATACCATGCATAGTGAAAGTACAGGACCCAGTTTAAAGTGGTACAGAACAGACTTTACTAATTTTGATGCTAATCTGTACTAACAGCCTTGGGATTTTGAATAAGATCTGTTTTGATACTCCATGTTCCATCTTTTTTCCCCTAAAATCCAGACACCCTGAGCTTTACCACTCTCCATGCTCCCAGTAACTGTTACATCCTAATCCTGACCTTTCCTGGCTCTGCCTTATTCCCTACACCTTTCACTCTCCCTTTACCTCAGAGCCGAGCATGTGAACTCCCACTCTGAGAATGGTTCCCATGTGATTCAGGAACAAGCCAACCTCCCTGGCCATCTCATTGGGATACCTCTGCTTCCTCTGCTGGGGTCCCCATGCAATTTGGCCTCTACATCCATAGCTTTTCTTAGCTGGTGCCATCGTGAGCCATTGATTACCTGAGATGTGGCTGGGTGAAAGCAGAATTAGGGAGCCAAGGGCTTCCCTCCAACTCTGTATCACCTCTTATTTTGGACCCCAAAATAATGCTGCTGTGTCCAGATTCAAACCATCTTGCCAAAACAAGAAAGTTAACACCAGTTATCCAAGTTAGCCTATTTGGGGAAATATCATATTAGACCTCTTTCCACTCACTCACCCACCCACTCATCAATTGATCCACCCATCCATCTATCCATCCACTCATTCACCCGTCAATTCATTCATTGATCTATCATCTAACTACATCCATCCATCTGCTTGTCCATCTACCCATCAATCCATCTATTTATTCACCTGTCATCTATCACCCTGCTTCTATCCAGCTGCACGTTGATTTTCCTGTCATCTACCAACTCACCTCATTCATTCATCCACTTATCCATCCATCCATCCATATACATACATACATACATACATACATACATACATACATTTGTATATTTATCTGTGATCTATTCACCCATTTTACTTATCCAGCCAGCCAGCCTCTCATTCATTCACCCTCAGATTGTGCACCCAAAACTTCCCTTTCCTCCTTCAGCCAAGCTTAAAATATCTCTTATCAGTTCACAGCACTGACTACCTGCAGAGGTCACTGATCACCTAGTTTCGTGAGCTGACTAACTCATATTTCCAGTTTACACTAGGTTGCTAAACCTCTAGTTCACTTTCTTAATCAAGCAGATGCTGATTTTTCATAAAGCCGTTTAGCAAAAAAAGGGACAATTCTTCCCTTTGTCCTGAAGAAGCTGATTAGCCAAGGCCACACATGGTGGCTAATGTCTGTAATCTCAGCATTCAAGAGGCTGAGGCAAGAGAATTGCTCCAAGTTCAAGGTCAGCCTGGCCTATATAGTAGACTGGGTGAGGCCACCCTGAGCTACATAGAAAGACCCTGCCTCAAACGTGGGAGGAAAAAAGGAAGCTGATTAGCTCTAAGAAATGGGATGACAGGGGGTGAGGATGGGAGAATAGTGGGAGTTTGGATGCCTGTAGAGGGCAAGCTTAATGGGGAAGAAAGAACAAAAGGAAAGTAAACCCTGACCGTCTTTCTGCAAAGAAAGGGTCTGCTTTTCTGGGTGTAGGACATAGTGGCAGGAGTGAACCAAGCAGGGGCAGCAAGCCTGCCACATTCTGACTCCTGTCTGCCTTCCAGTGCTGGGAAACCCTCATTGGCCAGGAAATCTACCGTCTCCTTCTGATGGATTTCGTGTTCTCTTTGGCTAATTCCGTCCTGGGGGAATTTTTGAGGAGGTAAATATTGGTCAGGCATGTATATTTTATCCTATGCTGTAACCACATCCTGATTCCCAACTGAGCTGCCGGTATGGGTGGGTCCCTTACGTACTCAACTTGTGTGTTGTTATAATTTGTCTACTGTCTTTTGGGATATTGCTGTCTTCTAAATTAACTGAAATTTCACTTAACACTTAACCTGACAGCCCTGTCATCTCAGTATATTGGTTTAATTGACCCCCATTACAACCTTCATTTGAAGAAAAAATAAAACCACTCATACACTCTACAAATAAAATAGGTATTTAGCCACTTATCTTATCCACTGTAGATAAAGCTCACATCATGGTGGTCAGGAAGCAGGGGGCAGGGAGGGCAAGTCACCCTCCCAGACCACACCCCTAGTGACTCACCTCTTCTGATCAGACACCACCGTCTACCTGCAAGTCAGATATGTGGCTCCCATGATTCATTCACCTTCCCAAAGTTCTCCCTGTGAACACGTGAGGCCTGCGGGGGGCGAGGGGAACATATTTGATCTAAAACCACAACAGTGATTTAGAATTTAGCAACAGTGTGTCAAAGAAAAAAGGGGGATGGGTAAGTAGCACAGTGTAAGTGCCCTGGGATCAATTCCTTTTTTATTTTTTTATTTTTATTTTTTATTTTAAAGAGATTGAGACAAAAGAGGACATAACAAAGCAGATCAGATCAGAACAATGCAAGTAACACAGCATTTTACCACAAGACAACCCGTAATTAACAGTAACTACCATAGTGTCTCTTTCTTTGAAATAGTTGAGCATAGCTTCATATACGATAATATCAAGCATAACAAAACAGTATAAAACCATTCAAGAGAATGAAAGCATTACAGGGCCATTATAAGGCTTCAGAGTAATGTAATGGGGAATCATGATCACTATAAACTCTTATGTACTCTTACCATTTCTTACACTAGGGAGACTATATGGTACTTATATATGTGAGTTTGATTTATTTCACTTATGAGTATGGTGTCAAATTATATCTGGGATCAATTCCTATACTACCAAAAAAAAAATTGCCCTGCAAACTGTGATGATTTTATTTGTGTATAGCATGGGTTTTTTTTTAAGCCCAGAATTTTTGTTTGTGTACAGCAAAATCATTGTAGAATTTGCCTTTATTTAGTCAACTATACTTTGGTCTCTTTCCAGGTTAGTACATCTAACTTTAGCTCATTGTTTTAATTTTTTAAGTATGTTTGTATGTATGTATTTATGAGACAGGGCGGAAGTGAACTCAGTATGTAGCCCAGCTGGCCACTAACTTGATGGTTCTGCCTCATCCTCAAGAGTACTTGGGATTACAGGCATCCACCACCATTGCTGGCTTCTGATTTTTCATTTGGATGTCAGGTGTACAGACATGAAGCACGATTATCATTGACCTATGTGGTTTCTTTCTTTCTTTTTTACTATCCTGGGCATAAAACTCAAGGTGTCATGCATGCTAGGCAAGCGCTTTACCACTGAGCTACCCTGAAGCCCTCTGTGGTTCTTTTTTATTCACGCACTCATTAATCTTTAAATGAGATGAAGAGCATCTCCTTCCTTCCAGTTATTCTCATGGCTCTGCAAGCTCGCATAGGGAGGGGATGGCATGACACCATGCCGGTTCTTTTCTCAGTTAGGAGATTGAGTGTCAGTTTCCCTCACTCAGTTCTGCCCAAACTCACTTGTACTGAAACCTTTGCCCAGGAACTGGTATAAACATGAGAAGACTGGTTTATTTGTTTTTTACCGAAATTTATTATTGACAACTTCTCTGTCTGAAGAAGTCAGTGTAACGCCAGAGTAAATGGAGAGCCTGGTTTCCTACTTGCAGATTTGGGGCACAGGGGAAAATCAGTAATTGAACTACAATTACCATAGATTTAAAATATTTGTTTTATCTGGCTGGGGTTGTAGCTCAGTGATAGAATGTATGCTTAGCATGTGCAAGCCCCTGGGAAATCAAACTCTGAACAAAAAAAATTCTTTTTGTTTTGTTTTGTTTATTCAGACTATTTGGCTTGGGAGATTCTCTGTTTATTTGATTCATGAAAAAAACAGTTTAATAAGCAGAGTGGTACAAACAAGATACTAGTTGGGACAGTTAAATAATTAAAGTAAAAGATGTTTTCTAGAGTTATTTTGAAATTGCAGTAGCAGTATTCCACTTAACTGCACTATTCTAATTGCATTTCCTCCTTGATTCTCTTAATTATTTTTTAAAATACATTTTTATGTATTTGGAACTTTTCAGACATACGCAAGGGAGCTTACAACTTTATTCTAAACTGGTGAAGAGCTTCATGGTTGATTGGTGGGAATCTTCGTGTGTGTGTGTGTGTGTGTGTGTTTTGCTAGGTTTCGTTTAGTTACATTTCCACCCCATTTTATTTTTATTTCTTATTTTGAGACAGGGTCTTGCTAATTTTCTAGACTGGGCTAGAAATTTCAATTTCCTTCCTTAACTTCCTAGAGTGCTAAGATTATAGGCATGTTCGGTGGAGGCTCTTTTGAAATAAAGAGTTGTGGTTTGGGTACTAAACATAGTACATTTTCACAGGATCATTGGGATGCGATTCATCAAAAGCCTTGTCCTGCAGGAGTTTGATATTGCTAGGAATGTTCTAGAACTGATCTACGCACAAACTCTGGTGTGGTAAGTTTTGGAGCTCTGTGGGAATCTCTGGTTAGCTCCTACTTGACTTAGTTTTAGTGGCAAGGTCCCAATCTGTTTTTATTAAAGTTAACACCAAACCCAGTTAGTCAGAATAGAGCAGGTCCCAGACTAGAGGCTGACAGGCTGGCTGTATGTAATGCATGGATATGATTCATTTGTCCCTACAATACTATTTGTAAAAATTTGAACCATTCCTTGATATGTCAAGGTCCAAATGTTCATATCCCTCCAAAATTCCTATGTTGAAATCTATTGACACTGTCAGGATAGCAAGAAGACACCATCTTGGAAGCAGGAAACATCCCTCACCAGACACTGAATCTGCCAGTTCTTGATCATGGACGTCCCAACCTCCAGAGCTATGAGAAGTGAATCTTTGTTGTTCTAGACTTACCAGTTTATGATATGTTGTAATAGCAGTATAAGTAGATTAAAGCAACTAGCAATAACTAAAAGTTCTGGAGATTTTATATAGGCTCTTAATGCCTAGCTTCTCTCCAGAAGGACCTGGCCCATCTCCCATTGTGGTAGCATTCAAGTGGGCCTTGAAGGCAAGCATCTCTTGATTGCCTGTCTCCACCTTGATCTGTTGTCTCCCCAGCACTGATTTGCCTTTTCTCGTTGCTGTATACTGGCAGTGGAAAACTTTACTTTGTATCTATATCTCAACAAATAGGAGAATAAAGGAAAGAAGAGAGAGGACTGCTTGTCCTCTTATACTTGACCTGGCCTGCTAGCCAGTGTACTTCCAAGTGGGGCATCTGTGGTCTTTGGGAGTCACAACTTTTATTCTAACAAATATGTGCAAATATGTGTGTGCTGAGAAAACCAGCTAACTGTATCATGTTGTCGTTGTGTCTTTGTCGTTGTTGTTCTTGGGATTAAACCTTTGGTTCTAGGGTCTTGGGCATGCTAGCTATGTGCTCTACTGCTGAACTATACCACCATCCCCCTGCTTTTGGGTCAATTTTTGTATATATCTTCATCTAGAAACTTGAAATCAATAGCCGGTGTGCCTTTTTCCTTATTTATTTTATCATGATGGAGTTAATGCCAGAATTCACTTGCCCAGGCTCCACCTGCTGATTGAAAGCAATGCAGTTAGGATTGGAAACCTCCATTCCGGGGTTAACTCTTCCATTCACTGAGGGCCCTGAGCGTCTCTGAGCCTCAATCTCTTTGTCTGTAAAATACACATAATAATACTGTAGTTGATAATAATAAGTAGTGTTGAGGACTAAGTGTGATTATAGGTAAAATGAGCTTGACATTACAACATACCATGCAACTGGAAATTTTGTTTTCTGAATTTTTAATAGAATTGCATAAGTAATCTGGCTTTCTGCACATGACTCACTCATGTCAGTGGGTTCATTTTAGAGACAGAGAGAGGACTTTTCTTTGCCTTTTAGGTGATATATTTGTATACTTCCAGGTCACCCACTGGCAATCTGACAGTTTAAAAGTGCCTTCTACACACATTATTTCAATCAACAGGATGCCTATGGGAAAGTTAAAAGGCAGAGATAATAATACTTACTTCACTAGCTGTTAGAGCAGATTAAATAAAAAATATATATATATGTAAATGCTCCATGAAGAAAATAAAAGGAAAAATAAATTCTCAGTGAATACTTGACTCAGAAATGTTTTATATATGGGGACACCATGACCATTATTACCCTTTGGGCCTTTACACTAAGCTACATAGCCAACTTTTAAAAAATTTTTTTTCTATTTTGAGACAGGGTTTCACTAAGTCACTAAATTGCCCAGGTTGGGCTCAAACTTTAGATTCTCCTACTTCAGCCTCCCAGAGTGCTGGAATTATAGGCATGTAACACCATGCCCAGCTGACTTTTTTTAAAAACACAAGTACATTTTTAAAGGATCCTTTATTTTTTATCATAATGTAGAGCCATTTAAATCATAAGAAATCACAAATAACTAGAAAAATAAAACGATTTTTGTCCTGCATAGTCTTTAAATTCTATCTAGGTACTTTTGTCTGCTAATGCTCTCATTTTTTGACTTTAGAAACTTTGGGGGGGGGGAAGTCATTTTTTTTTTTTTTTTTTTTGAGACCGGGTTTCACTATACAGTTCACTCTTGCCTTGAGCTCACTTTGTAGCCCAGGCTGGTTTCGAACTCTCGATGATCCACTTGCCCCAGCTTCCTCAGTGCTGAGATTTCATATATGTCAGCACACTTGGCTTTAGAAACTTTTTAGAAAAAGAGGAGGTTGGCAAGAGTTGGGAGTTAAGCCATTTTAGCCCAAAACTGAGATCTCTCTCAAAGATCACAGAGAACTTGGAAAGTGAAGCCCTTGTCACCTGTAACTTGGGGGCTTTCTGGCCTCGTCTCTGCAGGACCCAGACCTTCCGTAATACCTGAGGGCACCATGAAGCCATGGTGGCTTAGCAGCTGTGTGCAGTTTTTGCAAATCCTCCCTTCCAGAGCTGGGTGGAGAGCAGCTGTAGACGCTGGGGATGGGAGAATGAGTTAGGTCTGTGATGCGGGCAGCCTCCCTCTGTGTCTACCTGTTGGGGCTGCTGGAACAGTTTTAGTAGTTCAGGAGGCCAGAGGTTCAACCAAGATCAAGGTGCTGCAGGGCTGGTTTCTTCTGAAGGCCAATAGGAAGGGGTCATCCCCAGATCTCTGTCCTTGGTACACAGGCAGCTGTCTTCTCCCTGCGTCTTCACATGCTCATCCCTCACGGGGTCATGTCCTAATTTTCTCTTCTTCTAGGGACATGGTTATGTTGAATTACGGGCCACCACTGGAACCTCGTGTAACTTAATTACCGCTTTAGAGACTTTGTCTCCAAATGTACAGTCACAGTCTGAAGTAGGAGGAGACAGGACTTCACCATATGAGTTTTAGGGGGACACAATTCAACTCTCTCTCCATTCCCTCCACCTTCCCCAGCCCTCCTTATGTCTCCCCTGCTCTCTAACACTGATCATCTTTTCCTCACAGGATTGGGATCTTCTTCTGCCCTCTGCTGCCCTTGATCCAAATGATTTCTCTCTTCATCATGTTTTATGTAAAAAATGTGAGTCAGTCCCAAATCGAGACCAATCGGCTTCTCTCAGTCTCATGGGACCTGGTGGCAGTTGGAGCTAGGGAGGGTCATTGGAAAGGGACCCAGAAACTAGCACCTGATGGCTTCCCCGCTGGGCGTTCCACTGGCTACAGATGGGAGGAGACTGTGTCTTTCTCCTCAGATCAGCCTGAGGATGAACTTCCAGCCTTCCAACAAAGCCTGGCGGGCCTCCCAGATGATCACGGTCTTCATCTTGCTGCTCTTCTTCCCATCCTTCACCGGAGCGCTGAGCATCCTGGCCATCACCATCTGGAGGTAGGACATGGTGGCCTTTAGAGACTGGGTAGATTTGTTTAAAATGCAGGCATTGGTAAATGTGGTTATGTTACAGTCAATTGATAGAAGGCAAGTACTGTTGAAATCATAGTTTGTTACCGAGGGCAGGGGACTCTGTATCATGCATTATCATGCAGGGAAGCACCAGGGTTGGTTAGGAGGTGGAGGAAGGGGAAATGTGGTGCAAGAGCCTTCATTGATAAGGAATAGACAAGACAGAGTGGGTGGGCTTAGGGCTTGGTAGGTCGAATAATTTGAGCAGGCTCTGGAGTCCCAGGGCTGTCTTGAGTTGTTTGGTACCTAGCCTTGAGGTCAGTGGGCTGGGGGGGACAGTGGCCCAGAGAAACAGTGGCTCCTGGTAAAAGAGGCTCTAGTTTCACTGGTCCACATAACTTTGCGAGCTAACTATGAGAAGAGTCATCTCTCCAGGGTCAGTAAGACCCCAGACGTCAAGACATCAGAATTTATAAAAAGCAAAACCATGGTTTATATGATGCTTAACCTATGGTCCCTTGGTAACCAAGAGACACTTAAACCAAGGAAAGGAATAAATCCTATCCTGAACTTATTTCATCCAGCAGATACCCATAACTCTGAAGTGACTCAGGATGGTAGAGACCACTTCCTCCACTTGGAGAATAAACTTTCATCTAGTTTAACCAAAAGGCCCTGTCTGACCTGGCTTCCTTCCTACTGCTCCAGCCTCACCCCCTGGAGCTCCATTGCACTGCTTCTCCAAAGCTCTTGCTCTGTTATGGGAACCTCGTTAGCTCCTCCCCACATGGGTACGCTCCTGTCTTTGCAGTACTCCCCCTATTTGCCTGGCTGCCTTCATTCTACCCCTGATTGATTGTCAGCTCCAAAGTCATCTCCAAGATCAGCCCTTCCCAGTCATCCTTGTCTGCTGCTGGCCCTGCCTCCTCTTCCTCGGCTCTGAGTTTTCTTACATTATGGCATTACTCAGTGAGAAATGCCTTTGTTTGAGTCTTTGCCTACTTGTTTATTCATGAATTGTCTATCTTTCCTGCTAAATATAAGCCAAAGAGGGCAAAGACTAGGTCTGCCTTATTTAATATGGAATTCCAGGATCTATCCAGAACAATGCCTAGGAGAAGTGCAATAAACCTTGGTAGAATGAATCACAAAGTTGGGAGGTGGATGTAGAACTGGAACCATCAGGAACTCAGGCAGCTATAGGACAAGCTACTCTTTCACAGTGTCCCTATGCTTGTCTCTGTTCCTTGAGCTTCTGCTCCTTCGTAACAACTGACCACTTGATCACAATGCCATACTTTGGCTTCTATACCTCTGTCTCAAGAGCCATTCCTTAGTGTGAAGGTCATATTGGCAAGGCTATGAGCAAGAGGGTCCTTTCGGAAAGGGAATATTGGCAGCTGTTTCCATTGCTGGATGTGTTAGTGCGTGCCTATAATCTTGGCATTCTGAGAGGCTGAGACAAGAGGATCATAAGGTCAACCCTAGCCTTGGCAATGTAGTAATTTAGTGAGACTCTGCCTCAAAATATACATTAAGGCCAGATGTGGTGGCACACACCTGTAATCCTAGCATTCAGGAGGTTGAGGCAGGAGCATTGCTACAAGTTTGAGGCCAGACTAGGCTACATAGTGAGTTCAAAGCCAGCCTGAACTATATGATGAGACCATGACTCAAAAAAAAAAAAAAAAGCCAAAAAAATATTCAGCTGGGCTTGTTGGTGTTTGCTGTAATCCCAGCACTTGGTAGGCTGATACAGGGGGATAACTGCAAGTTTGAGGCTAGCCTAGACTATATAAGGCCACCCTGAACTACATAGAGGGACCCTGTTTAAAAAAAAAAAGTAGAAAAAATAATTTTAAAAGCTGAGCATGTAGCTTAGTACAAAGGCCCCAGGTTTAATTGCCAGTAATCAACCATCCATTGCACGTGCGCATACACACACACACACACACACACACACACACACACACACACACACACATTCTCATCTGAGTCCCATGCCAGAGATTTTTTTCGCTGTTCCTTTCTTTTCCAGGTTGAAACCTTCAGCTACCTGTGGCCCCTTCCGAGGTCTGCCTTTCTTCATTCAGTCCATCTACCTTTGGATTGACACCCTACACAGAAGGTCTGGGTACATGTGGGTTGTCTGGATCTATCAGAACCTCATCGGCAGTGTGCACTTCTTTTTCATCCTTACCCTCATTGTGTTGTAAGTGGGGTGTCTCAGGAAACTCATGGGAGAAAGCCCAGGGCTCTGGGGAGAACTTTCACTGATAAGGGCAGATCTGGGGATATTTTGTTGGATAACTAAGGGCTACAGCAGAGCTTGGTGTTCAAGATGGTCCTGACTCATTAGAAATCCTGATGTCTGGCCCCTGATGTCTGGCTTGGTGGTGCACATGCCTGTAATCTCAGAATTTGGGAGACTAGAGCATGAGGGTTATTGTGAGTTTAAGGTCAACTTGATCTACATAGTGAGACCATGTTGAAAAAAAAAAGAAAAAAGGGGAGTGGGGAGAGAGAGAGAGTCCTGACTCTGTCTTTGGATAGAGTTTTAAAAAATTATTTAATATCATCTGAGGGTTTTTTTCCCATGATCTACAAAGAAAGCAGTACTTACTTTGCCCTTTTTAAAAGATGACACGAGAATAAAATGAAAAAAAAATGGATATGACAATACTTAGGAAATGAAATTATATATATAATTTCCTTCTGAGACTGACATGTGAGGGATTTGGACATTACTGATGTATAGGATTTTGTGCTTTTATTTAAAGAAAATGCATTTCTGGCTTCTTGAGATAAAGTAGATTTCCAACACTGGGGCATTTTCCTGCACGGAACAATTGGCTGGCGGTCTTACGGTGGTCCCTGTTGAGATGTTACCTCTAAGGGCATTCAAGATGGCAGCTCCTCATTAACAGCAATACAATCTGAAAACACAGACTATGGGAACTGCCTCATGTAGACTATAGAGCAATCCTTCCACGTGCAGACAGGAGCAACAAGGCAACGTGATGGGATGATTTGCAGAAACAGATTTCGGGCTTCAGACCCTAGTGGGGACAGAAAGGGAAGAACTTGGGTCTCTCGGTGACCAGTTCTGTCCTTTCTCCACTTCACCAACTGCCACTGGCACCTTAGAATGGTGAACTCTCCAGCCTCTTTGCTTCTCTGGACTTCTAGTTCACTGGCTCTGTGCTGTTTTCATGCATGCTTCTTTCATAGAGTAAGTTTTGTCTTCACACCAGCCAGTTTTGCAGTTCTTCAGATAGCAATGGGGTGTCCTGAAAAAGTTTTTTTATACCGGGGATTGAACTCATGACCTTAGTGCTGAGCTAAACCCCCAGCCCCCGTCTGAAATTCAATTCAGTTCTAGCACTCTACTTGCTGTCAGTGTCTGACCCCACAAGTTAGACTCAATCCTACTTCAGATGCTAGTCCCATGTCCCACACTGTCACCTGACTTCCTGGCTATGAATTTGAGGGGTCTTCAAGTTGGATAATTTGCTAAAATGACTCACAGAACTCAGGAAGGCACTTTACTACTACCAGTTTGTTATGGAGAATATAACTCAGGAAAAGTCAGAGGGAAGAGATGCCTAGGGCGAGGTAGAAGGGGGGGATGGTGTGGAGCTTCCATGCGCACTCCTGATACACGAGATTGATCTAATTGTTGCTCCTGGGGTTTAACTCAATTTGCAGTCTTTGTGTCCTCCCCATTGTCACTAGGTGGCAGGGACTAAAAGGTCTACCCTTAATCATGCTTTGGTCTTTTCTGGTGATTGGCCCCATGCTAAAGCCATGTAGGGATCTCCAGACACCATGTGTCTCATTCTCATTTGAAAGACACTGAAGAGTCTCCAATAATTTAGAAGCTGTGTGACAGAAACTCGGCACATAGAACAAATAGCTTTCCTTATTATACTGGGAGCTTGTTGAAAATACATAATTACACGCTCTACCCCAGAAGTATTAAATCAGAACATGCATTTCAACAAATTCCCAAGAAATGTGTGCCATTCAGTGGAAGTCTGTACTTTGTTTGGTTTTGAGATAGGGCAAGTTCAGGCTGGCCTTGAACTATGTGGCCCAGAAGGCTTGAACTTGCAGCAACCTTCCTGCTTCAGCCTCCAGAGTATTGGGATTACAGATGGGCACCACCACAGCTGATGACACTTGAAGTTTGGGTGGCTCTGTCCACATTCACAACTTTATTCACAACTGCATATTGAGATCATGTACATTTTAGAAATCTGATGTCTGGCCCCAGACCCCGAGATGTGTGCGTCATTGATCTGCAGAGTTGTTTTACTTCACTCACCTCTGAGGTGATTCCATGTGCATGTTAAGAATCATTACTCTAACCTACAACTCATTCTGCTATGAGTTTTCAGTAACACATTTCAGGCAAAACCCAATTGCAAAAAAAAAAAAAAAATCCAATTCTTTTGCACCCCAGTTAAAATTTGGAGCCTCAAAGCATTAGGGAAAATGTGTGTCTGTCTTTTCTTCCAGAATCATCACCTATCTTTACTGGCAGATCACAGAGGGAAGGAAGGTTATGATCAGGCTGCTCCACGAACAGATCATTAATGTAAGTCCTGTTGGGCCCCTCTGTTATCCTCTCCTCCTTTCTAAAACTTCATAATGGAAATTCCCAAGATATTCCAAAATAGAATAGCACAATGAATCCCCATGGTTCTTCCAGCCAACCCCAGTATCCTTCGGTTTTATTTTTTGCACCGGGGATCGAACTCATGACCTTGCACTTGTCAGGCAGGTCCTTATGCTGCTGAGCTAAATCCCCAGCACATAACCTTCAATATTTTTGTACTCTTACTTTATCTATTTTTTCTTCTTTGATCTCTATTATAGATTATTTTAAAGAAAATGTAGGCTTTATTTTTTTATCAATAAAAGCCTTATTTTTGATAAAGACTGTTTTGTCAGTGACACTTAGTACAAGTCAATAAATACTGATCCCCAAGCCAGGTGTGGTAGTGCATGCCTGTAAACCTAGCACTTGGGAGGCTAAGACAGGAGGATCATTGCGAATTCGAGACCAGCCTGGGCTCAAGGCCAGCCTGATCTGCATGGAAAGACTCTGTCTCAAAAAGACAAAAAGAAAACAAAATATTGATACCCAAAGAAGAATTCAGTTATTTATCATGTCACAGAGCTGACTGGCACTGAGCCATGTGATTTCTGGGATGACTGAAATCATTCTGGCTTCTTAGGAAATGATGCTGTAGCCAACTGATGTGTGGTATATGTGGTTCCACCAACCTAAGAATCATGGTGGCTCTACTTCACGTATACTGATGCTGCTGCACCTCTCTTCACACAGGCGACACCATGCCTCCATTCAACATCACCTTGACATATATGATGTCTCTTCGGTGATGCTGACAGCAATCAGTTGTTCCAAGGTGTGTTAGCCAATGCATTCATCACAAAGCTTTCCTCAGCCTTCACCTCTGGATTTAGCAGCTCTCAATGAGTAGTGCCTAGGAGATCTGTTGATTTCACTGGATATTATAAAATAATGATACTCTCATTTGGTCACTCCTCCTGCATTTATTAACTGGAATCCCATATTAAAAATAATTTTTGACCACCTATGATCTGAAATGCATATAATACATAGACGAAAGGCAGGATATGTACAAAATGCTTTCTTTTCCTTTATTGACATTTTCAAAATATTTTCATCTGCTAAAATTGTTTTAACAGTTGCTGTGAACTCAGTGGCCGAAAGCAACAGAAAGTTATTATTTACAGGTCGGGAGGCAGAAAATCCAAAATCAAGGTGTTGGACGGGGCTAGTTTCTTCTGAGCCTCTGACAGAGAGCCTCTGTCCCAGCTTCTGGTCACTGCTGGCCACTCTTGGTGCTCCTGGCCTAGGAGGAGTTTCATAATTCTATTCTCTGCTTCAGTATTCATGAAGGCTTTTTCTCTGTGGGCCTTTTTTTTTTTTGTACCAGGAATCAAACTTGGGACCTTGCACTTGCCCAGCAGGCACTGTGCCACTGAGCTATATCCTTGGCCTTTGTTGGTTTTTCCATCTCTTCTAAGAACTTGTCATTGGATTTAGGGTCCACTCTAATTCAGGATGATCTCATTTCAAGATCCTTAATTTAATTACAGCTTCTAAAACTCTGTTTCCAAATAAGGCTATTGCAGGTCCTTGGGTTTGGACTTGGTCATATCTTTTCAAAATGGGGATACTATTGAACTTGCTACACTTAACAGTCTCAGAACATAGCCAGTGAAGATTCCAAAGTTATCACTATGAATGTATGGCTTAAATTATGTTAATACCTCTCAATTACAATTTTTATGACAAACAGTCTTTTCGTTTGCTAGTGAAAACTCTTTGATTAACTGTTAGACTCTTTGTCCATAATCCAAGAAGTCTTTGTAGGACAAAATGCAGGCTCATCCTTGTTCATTTCCTGTCCCAGAATAGGAATCAGTCTCTGAAATTGTATTTGAAACACTCATCACTCCTCTGCTGGTTTTCTTTTCTTCTAAATAACAGCACAACTATGACATGCATGCCTGTATGAAAAGCTATGGGAATCCAAGTGTGGTGACACACACCTGTAATCCCAGCACTTGAGAGGCTGAGGCAGGATTGTTGTAAGTTTGAAACCAGCCTGGGCTACAAAGTGAGCTCAAGGCCAGCCTGAACTGCATAGTGAGACCCTGTCTCAAAGAGACGAAAAGAAAAGAAATAAAGAACCATGGGAAAGAAATAAGACTCCTCAGCATTGCATCTGATGGAATCTTTGATTGAATAATTTCACTTGGTCCTTCTGGAACATAAAGAAAGGGCCTGGGTTAGTTATATTCTTTTCCCTCATTGTCCCCAATAGCAACACCAATGCTTGCCTGAAACAGAGTTTTGAATGTTTTGGGCAGGTCTTATGAAGGCCTCAACACAGGAGGAATTTTATTCTAAAACTTTAGAGTTGTATGGGCAGTATGAGGTCAACTGGGGAAATACCCACATGCTATAATTTTAAGACAGTCACATAAGCATTACCACAGGCCTGTCCGCTTGGGAGTCTTTCCCAGAAGATGGATCACAAAGCAGGGGCATTTTCTCCAAAATAACTCAGGTCAGAGGCTTGCAATAGGAATGACCTCTGACATAAGAAACACCTAGATGTTTGTTATGAATACAAATTCTTGCTACCTTGCTAATCCACACAATAACAGTAACAGGTAACATTTGCTGAACATTTACATGATGCCTGGCATTGTGCTAAGTGATAAACAAAAATTCTTATTTAATTCTAACTACTAGTCAGGCGTGTGGTGCACTCCTGTACCTCACTGCTCTGAGATGCTTGCACAGGAGGCCTGCAAGTTCATAACCAGTCTGGGCAATTTGATAAGACTGTCTCAAAATAAAAAATAAAAAAGGGCCAGAGATGTATCTCAATGTGAAGAGCTTGGGTTCAATCTCTACTATTGCAAACATCAATAAATAAATCCTTTTCTGGGGTACATAAATTTCCTCAAATTCTCATTTTAAAGTTAAGGAAACTGAGACCTACAGTGATTTACCTGATTTACCCTAAGTCACAGTGCTAGTAAATGGTGAACCAGGACACTCCGAAGTTTCTGCTTGTAACCGGGGATATAGCTCAGCAGCACAGGTGTAAGGTCATGAGTTCAATCCCCAATGCCAAAAGAAAAAAAATTTTTTTAAATGACAATATAAAATATTAGGGCTGGGGGATTAGCTGAATGGAGTAAGCACCTGCCTGGCAAGTGCAAGGTTGTGAGTTCAATCCTCCACGGTACTGAAAAAGAAAAAAAAAAAAAAACAAAAAAACCCCACAAAGTTTCTGCTTGTAACTTCAATGCAGTTTGCCTCTCTAAGTAAAAATCTTTTGAGGGAAAGCCTAAGAGTGTGCATTTTTACATGCCCACTAGGTAATTGTAGTAACTTAGTTATGTTGAAAACAGCTAGGGGCTTGTTTTCTTTTGTTTTGATTTTCAGTGCTGAGTGATTAAACCCAAGGCCTCTGTACAGAGTTGCACCCTAGCATTTTTTTGAGACAGGATTTTGCTTAGGTGCCACGGTTGGGCTCGAACTTGTGGTCCTCCTGCCTAAACCTCCGAGAGTATAGAGATCACAGGTGTGCACCACCCTAGGGGAATTGTGAAAAATATCTGTTGTCAAGGACAGCTCTTCCTTACAGAATTCTGATTAATAATGTAGATGGAATGAGGGAGACAGAAAATCATCCTGAAACAAACTACACAGTAATAATCATGATAAGCAAACCTACTGTTGGATGCTAAGTTAATGGGTGAAAGTTTAAGAAAAAACAGAGGCACAAGAATGGGATGAGCATTGTTGGCCAATATTGGGCAGACTGCTGAATGAGCTTGCTCACCCACTTCAACACTCAGGTGGAAATTCTATCCTTTTCTGCTACAAAAGTTCACAGGAAAGGGAGTACACACTGCCAGGGGAAGGCAGACTCCTTTCCTTTGTTCCTCTTTCCAATGTTAAATTATTAGTCTCCATCAACACAGATAATGTTGGCAAATGAAATCCATTTGATGTTCTTAGGGGCCAAGCTCTAAGGTCAAGCATTTTTAGTAGGACAGGGCAGAGCCAACAATCCTAAATTTGCAGACTGGGCATCTGGGCCAGGAAGCATGCCAAGAAAGGGAACACCAAAAGCCTTTGTCCTAGGCCTTCAGACAGTGGCATCTAAGTTCCTTCTAGCAGCGGTCTAGAGAAGGCTACTTCCTGAGCCTGTTTGAGGAGTTGTTTCTAGGAGCTCAGAGTAATTACTAACTTTGGTTTCGTTCTGTTTTTTCTCTCATCAGTAGAAAATATGATATAGCATGCTCCAGCCAACTTCTGGGTCCTTCTGGGTTGCTTCTTAATCCTCCACCATCATCCCTCCTTCCTGTTTTTTTCTTCTTGGCAGGAGGGCAAAGATAAGATGTTCCTGATAGAAAAGCTGACCAAGCTGCAGGAGATGGAGAAGATAGAAAACCCCAGGGCACTTATTCTGGAAAGGAGACAGACAGAGGTGAGGCTACATGTGGTTCTTGGGACCCTAGGGACACAGACTTGCCTCCTTGTGCAAAGTGCATCACTGAACTGGCCAGTGGGCTCTTAGCATCACATACTGGTCTTTCACTTTTTGTTGCTGCAGTGCTGGTGATGGAACCTGGAGTCTTGCACATGCTAGGCAAGCACTCTGCCTCTGAGCTGCGTGCCCAGCTCACATCACCCATATACATCTATATTTGAGATGAGTCTCTCTCTGCTGCCCAGGTATCAAGTGGGCTCAAGTGATCCTGCCTCAGCCTCTTGACTGCAGACACACACCATCACACCCAGCTCGTTTAGTTAAGCTTATAGTTAAGCTTTGCAGTTCCTAAAAATTAAGTATCAGCAAACTCACCAGCATCTACTAATATTTTCATATATTATAAAAGTGGAACTGTAGTTATATAAATACTATCACACACACACACACACACCTCCCATACACACTTAACATTGTTTCAAACATTGTTTTACTTTTGACATATTTTATCATTCTGGATATTTGTGCTGTTTCCAGGTTTTTTAAGTCCTAAAAACAATAAACAATGAAACATTTTTGTTATAACCGCAATTATTGCAGTGTTGGAGATTAACACAGGACACTGTATATACTATGAAGTAAACATTTTACCACTGAGCTCCCTTTGTTATTTTGCTTGAGTATTTCTGCCCATGTGCATGTATCCCTAATTGTAATATAATGAGGGGTTCACACACTGTGCCACCCATGCAACAAGACCCAGGATCTCTATTCTTCTCCAGTGATGTAGCTGCCCATTTTCCTTTCACAGCAACAAGGCCCTCTGCATCTGAAGGAAGGTGATGCTACTCCTGGTAAGTATCAGACTGACACAGAATAAGACACCACTATATTTCTCTGAAAGTATGACCGAGTCTTATATTAAAAGGGCTTATTTTCAGGGGACCTTAATTTTTCATATATCTGTATGTATTTACTCATGCACAACAATCTACATTTATTTATTCATCTATAAAAATCCACATTTATTCAAATACAGCCATGTCATCTTATTCTCGAAGTGTGTTAACTCTCCAAACCACAATTCTGACCTGAATTTCTTGCATCTCCATTTCCTAGAAACACATTGGCCCCAAACTCTCATGTCCACAATGAAACTGTCCTTAAGTGAGCACTTCTCATCCATGTAGGCTACTCCTAATGCATCGTTACAACACATGACATATTGAATTATGAAGATTTGTATTAGACACAACCACATCCCTCTGTTATCAAGTGTGCACATTATTTCCGTGTTATCTATACTCTGCTTGGTCACTCAGAAATAAGTCTAGACATTTACCTGTCATCCAGAGGTGCCTGCTTAGATATTTACAAGTTACTATAATTTATATCATTTAAATCTTAATGTCAATATTGTTTATATTATGTATTATAACTCAATACATCCATCATGTTTCAACATATATATTAAGTGTGTCTGCCTGGCTGAAAATCTTAACTGGGGTTTATTTTTGGGGTTAGGCTTATAGTATTAGCATAGGATTTCTTTTCCAAGTAGGTCTTATTTGGGGGAAATATAATTTATCCTGGTGTTATAGCTCAAAGTAGAGGGTCAGAACTGCTTTTTGACCAAAATAGCTTACATAAAAATCCAATGATTCTTGCTTTACAACTGACCTAAGGCAGGTTACAGTGTCACCAGAACCTGGTTTCTCTGTTCAGTTCTTTCCTGTATTAGTTCCTTCTGCAAACAGGTCTTTCCTATACATGGCAAGGCAGTTTTATCATTCTCCTATCTTCTTAGGTTTAACCTAGTGGAAGAGTAGAGAACCTAGAATTTTGGATGTTTCACTGGATCTGGTGGGGCAAAGTTGCTATAGAAATATGTTTGTTTCCTTGGTCATATCCGAATCACATGTATCAGCTGTAGGTACAGGCAGTGACACTATGCAATCCACAGAGGTGAAGAATAGATTCCCAAGGATCATCTGATGCCAGGGAGGAAACACTAGTTTCCTCCAGTCTTTTGGGGAAAGGATTTACTCATGACATTCAGTGATGGGCGTTCAGAGCAAAGAAGGCAACAGAAGCTACAGGACCTTTAAGGCCCACTCTTGCCCTTTTAGAGACGGGGCAGTGTGTGCCTGTATTAACATCTCTTTCCTATGTCAACCCCAGACCTGCGATTTAGGCGATCAGTTCAAGAAGATCATTTAAAGGCCTGATGGCTGCTGCAGTAACCAGACACTATCTGAAAGAAGATAAAAATGGGACAAATTCTTCCATGACACTTGGGCCTTTAGCAGCTTCTCAGAAGGAGCATCCAAGCCTTTTAGCTGGGAGTGGAAAATCCACGATGTCAGTGTTTAAGTAAAATTGGGCATACTGTTTTCTTTCAAACTGAGCTTGCTGACTTTTCAAGATAACATACTTGAGATTTTCCAGTAAAAAGACTGTTGAAATATTGAAATCAGCCCAGAAAATGTGAGAAGATATAATCTGAGAATGAAGTACTTCAAGAAATGTGTACCTGAATTATTGGTGTTTAGCAATCTCTCCTCCTAGACCTGACAAAGGTTTAGAAACTGGTGAGATGAAAAGTGGTCCAGAATGAATAAAAACGATCCTTAATCAGGCACATGAATCCTCTGAATTGTGTAATTTACATCTCTGTGTGAATTTGAACTAAAAACATATCCACATCACCCAAAAATGAAACAGAATCAGAGGTCTTATCTGTTTATTGCATATGAAGTACAGGAGTCTTTGGGGCTAGACCAGGGTGGGACTGTGTCCCTATGAAGTTTTATACATAACCAACAACAAAGTCTTACACTGAACCAAACATGAAGCAATGGTGATGTGTGGAATGGAACTGTGCATGTGAAATGAGTTATGTGTATACTGTTTTGCAGAATTGCCAAATGATTCACAAAGCCTGCAACTGTTGTTAAAACTCATAGGTCCACAATATTTTTAACCCTATAGTAAGCCTTTTAAGTAAGCTTATAGTGTTTACTGATACCTTTTTAAATTTTTTTTTTTTTTTACCCTAAGTCCTTATTTGGGCCTAGTTCAATCAACAGGAAAGGATGCTTGGAATGGAGGTCATTAGGCAGAAAACGCCTGGCTCTCCATCGGCCTTCTCTCAACAGAAGGGCTCTAATTAACTCTGTTCTGTCTCCAAGGACCATCCTGGGCTATCATGTGCTGTGCAGTCTCAGGAAGGACCCAGGGAAAAATTCTGTTGTCAGATGTTTTCCTTGGTTATCTTTTTCTTCTTTTCACTTTAGTCATAATATGGCATAGCAGCACATGCATGGACATTTGCTCCACTTAATAAACTTAATTTTTAAATTCAAGGAAATTTCTTTAGGGGGTTGGAGTGCAGCCATGTGAGAGAGCATGTTGCTTATTATAAACAAGGCTCTGGGTTCAATAAATACCTAGCACCAAAAGACAGACAAGAACATTTCTTTTATAAACATTGATTTAAAAATATGCCAAGCTTTATCTATCATACTCTGACACATACAGAAACACAAATCAGCATGTGTCTCTACCACCTGGTCATATGGAGTGGTCTTCCAAAGCTCCCCCTGCCTGGCTGATACAGCAGTGAGGCTGAGGAGCCATCCAGGCAATGAGAGGGCAAAGTCAGAGCTCAGTGTGGGCCTGTAACAAATGCCACCAATAGGACTACAAGGTAGGATGGGGCTAACTAGAGGAGGCATACAGATTTGCCATTTTTAAATAATTCAATTTCATTTTAAACATTGCTACTTAAGTTCACAACAAAGCCTTGGATGTTTGTGTGGGAAAGTGGTACAGATATGGTGTGTAGTAAAGAATGGTAACTCTAAGTCAGGCCCAGGTGGATTTGAGCACAACTGTACTATGGACTCTAAGTCCCCAGGTAAGTGACTGCAATTCTGCACAGCCTCGGCTTCCTCATCAGGTTGAATAAGATCATGCTACGCCCTTGCACAGTTCCTGGGTTACAGCAAACAAGTAGCTATTACGACATGAAGGCCTGCTGTATCACCACTTGTGTGGTTCTGGAGGCTGCCACTCTTTGACCACAACTTCCTGTAGTCTAATCTGTAAAATGAGGATAAACTGAGTTCTTGGAAGTTTCTCCCACTTCTAACTGTATGCGAACCTGTGCTATAAAGCTTCCTAATAAACCTAAGTGCACCTCTGTCACCTGGTGGTTTGTGGTGCTTGCTTCAAGACACTGTCAATAATTCCTCCACTTGGTGTCACACTTCCCTCCTCTTGTGTTGCTGCACACCAAGGCCTCACTGCGTTGCACAATGCACCTTCCCAAATTTAGGGAGCTTTAAGGGCATGGGGCCTGGTATGCATTTTCCTTTCTCGCTCCTTTTAATGATTTTGTTAGTGTGGTCACAAGTTTGACACCTATAGTACACTGTTAATAGAGATGAATACAAATGACTGAAATAAGTACACTGCTTAAGTCTGGTAAGTTTTAAAATGTCAATTCCAAATGATCATGCAAGTCTCATGCATTTGCATCTGCATCCCCCAACTGCACAACTAACTGTGCTTTGCCTCACTGGGTCTTGGTGCTGCTGAGGCTGAATAAGTAGGGGCTGGAATGCCTTTATTCAGAGCCAGATTTTCAAGAGCAACACTGATGAACTCGGGCATTCTATGCAGCCTGGCAGCAATACCTGCTTTTGGTTTATTCAGATAAGAATGCAATTACTGGCTATTGCTTGTGAGCCACTGATCCCCCACCCAGGCCTGGACTAGCACAAAAGGTACTTTGATATCCCCGCATGAGGCCAATGGGCAGTTTCTGAACCTGTGTCTCCTCCCCAGGGCAAAAGTCTAGAAATGAGGTTCACAGTCTTCCAACATGCTGTCTGTGATGTAACTGGAACCAAGATGGGATTCATAGTAACTTTTCTCATCAAAGGTATTGACAGTCCAACCAACAACGTAGACTCCTTTAGCTGACCACTTCTTCAGGTAGTCCCTGGAGAAAAGGAAAAGCCAATCCTGTTAGAAGAGTGGCCAGTTGTCCATGGAATCTATGATTGCTGAGGATGATGCTCACTGAGTGTCCCCCCACAATGCAGAGGTGCGCTCCAAGCCCAGGACACAGGGAGGCCTTCCTGTTGTCCCTGCTTCAAACAATTCAGCAGCTCACTATAACCAACCCCTCCCGAATGTCCTTGACACAGGGCTTGGGCCCTGTCTGTCTTCTGTGGCCTTATCTCACATCATTCTACGTAGCCCTCTCTCGTCAGTGTTACAGAATGTTGATACTCTTTCAATTCCTTGTGAGAACTTTCCTTTTGGCCACAACACTGTTGCTGGTGGTTTTCCCTCCTCTGTTGCCCACATCCACTTTGTCTCTGAGTTGCATGAAGCCACACCCGAAGTTGAAAGTTTGCTCTCTTACTTGCCCCATGAGCTAACTTTGTTTTCTTCCCGTACCCTCTCCGTATCTTAATGGCTAACTAGATAAGCAGTTACGATGCCTTGGTCTTTTTCTGGGCACTCTTCATTCCCAGGGTATAGGAAAGGTCATGATTAAAAGGTAGTTATTACCGGGCCTGGTGATACATGCCTCCCAACACTCTGGGAGGCTGAGGCGACTAAACTTCAAGCTCCAGCTCAGCCTGGGTAATTCAGTTAACAACAACAACAAAAAGCTGAGGTGGGTGTGAAGAAAGGATATAGCTTACTTAGTGTACTGGAAATAAGAAAGTAATTGTCAAAAAATACAAATCAAAGCTGGGCAGAGCAGCACACTTAGAAACAGCACGCTGAGAGGCTGAGGCAGGAGAATTGCAAGTTCTGGGCAGTTTGGCAAGATACAACCTCCAGGGGAAAAAAAAAGTTGGGGATGTAATTCAGTGCAAAAACCCTGAGTTCAGTTTGCAAGAGAAGGGGAGACAGACTGGCCGGAAACCAGAAAACAGGCAAACTTTCAAACAGTAAGCCTCTAAACACTCCTCTTGGGCAACCTATTGGGACCCTTCCTATATCTCAGGAACTATTCCTATTCCCCACGCCTTTTCCCTCATAAATTTTCCTACTCTTAACTTCTGTTGTTCCTTAGAATTCACTCTTTGACGTTGAACACAAACTCAGTGTATCCAACATCTAGTATTTACCCAATACCATCTAGTAGGTCCCACTGAGATAACTGGAAGGAGGTAAGGAGTTTGCTTTTGTTCACAGATTCTGGATTGTGACTCGCTTAGGTAATCAAAATCTGTCATCTTTTATTTTTTAATTGCTTATGCCTTGAATTTTTAATGCCTTGCATTTGCCAATTGCTTATGCCTTGTTCTTTGTTAAAAATGATAATAAATTTAAGTTGAAAACATGGGAAAATTATGATTTTGCAGGTAAGGTCTTATATTTCTGCTTTGTATATGCTGCTTTTGGATTTAGTATTTTCTGGATTTTTGTCTGACTGTTGTGGTTTCTTAAACAACAGTGCTGGGAAAATAGTGTTAGACTGCTCCCTAGTGGACCTTAATATAAAATACTGCAAATGGGCCTTTTATGAAATCTAGTTCATACTTAGAAAATACACATGGCTATTTAAAAATCACAAGACCTCATTTGCCAGTTAAAAGTCAATAGGTGGGCAACTGTCCTTTAGACTTGGGGGACAGGTTTCACCGGTATGTACTGGCCCTGGTCACCCCTATGCACCCTAGAGAACCTGTTCTGCCTCAGTTTCCTTTCTGGTCTGATCTTCCACTGGTGAAGAGGCAATCTTGGCTCTTGGGAGTCCCTATTGTTTCCTTTCCAGGCTCAGAGTGATGACTCATGGGCAAGTTGTCTCAGTAACTTACCATGAGCGTGAGAAGACTTCCTTTTTCTGACCTTATTTCTGATCTTTTCCTGTCACTTTGTACTTTCCCTTTTTTGGAGACATGTAAGACTAGATAGGGAGGACTTCTCTAACAACTAAGAACCTTTAAGAGGAAGCTGGAGAAAACGAGTGTTTGTTAATGCCAAAGACAAAGAAGTCATCTTAGATAAAGACAGCTCAGGCTTTTATCTGTCCTTCATAGAACTCTAGTAAATGCTCACTCTGCCAGCTAGTTAAATGCTCTGAGAACAGCTGCCACTCTTAAAACAGAGAGCAGGTTCCCCAGCACCTCTCAGTGTAAGACTCATTGAAGGCAATGGAATGCTGACCAGACAGTCAGCCGAATTCCTTTCTGAAACAAAACTGGTTGCATGGAACCAGTGAAAGCTGAGAGGACAACTGAGAGGTCATGGCCAGGTGCCTCACTGATGGATACCCAAAGGCTCCTCAGCGGAAGCTGGGCCCTGATAGCCTAACTGGGTAACCAGTACAAAAAAATCTCCCTTTTTTCTATTGTCCCTACCTGCACTCCTCAGTGAGGTGAGGTAACTCAGCAGACGATTGCTGCTTGGGTATCCTCTGTCTCAGAGTGACTAGAGATGACACTGTTACAGCTTTCTCTTAGCCGCCATTAAAAGTTGAGGTTTGCATTCTTCTATCTGCCTGCAAGTTGGAAACTCTGCCTAAGGTTTTTTACAACTTGCTATTTCAGAATTACCTTGTAGTTAAGACTGCCCCTCCTTCCAGGAGGTCAGGCTGAAGCAGCTTGCAACAGCTGTTTGCCTCTCACTGAGGAGAGCAGCTTCACACTTGTGCCTTACATATGCGAAGGAGGAGTAAAAAAGGGCTTATTCAGCCTTTCTCTTCTTTTATATGAATTTAGAAAACTAATAAATGCGCCTTTTACCAAAATGTGAATTGTGGTTGCTAGGAAATGGGTACAAGTTTATCCTGTGAATTTTAAAGATATAAACATTTTAGAGTGGATTCTGGGAAGAGAAAAAAAAAAAGGATTGCCTAGGTGAATAAATAGATAACTTGATTCTACCCATTTCTAGGGGTGATTGCTTTCACAGGCTGGGGTGTGCTCCAATCACTTTGAATTTGCCCTTTGATATTTTCCTCACACCTTTCAAAAAACTGGAAAGCAGTGGTTTAAATATCTTGATTATTGGTTTTACTAACAGAGTTTCCTTCTTGAAACATGACTGTTACAGCTGAAATCAATTGTAACTTTTGCTTTTGGAAACAGTTTCTAGGATTAAGATTGGGAATTTCCAGGAAAGACAGGGTCACAAACTGATGAAAGGTGGCTAGTCTGACCTGACCTATCTTTTAATCTTTCTGTAGACCTGGAGAGCAGGTCACCTTGGGGATGCCTTGAGGATATAAAAATTAAGTGAAAATTTAAAAGAATGTCAATTCTTTCTCTTGTATTTTGGATGGGAGATTCAATTTCTTACTACTTTGGAAGGTATGCTTCAGTACTGGAGAATGTTCTACTCTTACATAGTGAAAAAGAGCTGTTTAATATTTTTTCTGTACTCAAGCCTAGCTGGTACAACAGTCCTCTTCCTGGAAATAGCTAAAATTACTTTTAACATTCAATCCCTATAGAGGGAACAGTTACATGTGGCTATCAAAACAGCAGTTTTGGTTATAAACTGAACAACTATGGCTATAAAGCAACAATAAGAAGCATGTATAGCTGCTATTCCAGTCAGATAAACTGTCAGCCTAGAGTCTGTTTTAAACATTGTCTTTGCTTTCACAGGTGTAAAATGTTTTTATTCCTTCTGATTCTTACTACAAAAGATCTCTGTTTATTGACCTAGTAAAACTAGTGTACTTATACTTACGAATTTAAAAACTATAAAAGTAAAACTAGTGTACTTATATTTACGAATTTAAAAACTATTAAAGGGTTATTGTAATTCAATTTGGCCAAATACACCTGAGTGTACTCTGGTCTATTAACAATTTTCCTATGTGTACCCATATGTCTGTTCAATTTGTGACTGGTTGCAACATCTACAACTGTTTTGTTTGAGCTCAACAATTTTTTTATTGCCACTTTGGATTTTTAAAATATTTTTATCTACAACTCAAGTTAGCTTACAGATAAGTTTCACTAGAGTTAAGGACATGTTTCTACTCAGTTGCCAGTTGATGAAAATAACGTCAAGATTGGTTTTACAGATGCAATGCGTATTGTTGTCTGTGTACAATAACTTGAGGAATCAAGACAATGCATTAATTTTTATGACCTGGTTCTCTTAGGTCATCTAAAAAATTTGTTAACTAAAGGGGGCCCCTTACACTTGGTGAAACTACTGGAAGACACTCCCCTTAGTGAATAAAGAAGGAGCTGTCTATTTGTTCCAGTCTTTTTTCACTAATGGAACCTCAATAATTTCCATAGCTTTTTGGGAGAGACACTCCAAAAAACTGATAAATGTTATTATGACATGTTTGCATTGGTTACCATAAAAAAGTTACATTTTCTGTGTATAAAATAATAAGGTTTTATTAAAAGAAGGCCTTGGGGGGCTGGGGATTTAGCTCAGCGGCATAAGCGCCTGCCTTGCAAGCAGGCAGTCGTGAGTTCGATCCCTGGTACCGATAAAAAACGAAAAAGTCAAAAAAAAAAAAAAAAAAAAAAAGGCCTTGGTGGGGCTGGGGATTTAGCTCAGCAGCATAAGCGCCTGCCTTGCAAGCCGGCAGTCGCGAGTTCAATCCCCGGTACTGATAAAAAAAAAAAGAAAAAAAATTAAAAAAAAAAGAAGGCCTTGGTATAAAACTAAATAATTAAGAGAAAAGTTTTAATAGAGCTGTGACACTCATTCTTGCTAATTTCATGGCATATTAAATGATCCATGGGTATACAAGTCTTTTAAGATGTAAAACTAGGATAGTTTATGATAATAACCTTTTAGACTCAGCTATCTGCCTTTCTCTTGTGCTCCAACTACCTGTGATAAGATACATGTCAAGCCAGTATGAGATCACCATCCCAATGATAGTTTTTAAAAATTTATGTGGTTATATTGTTATGTGTCACTACACTTAAGAGATACACAGCACTAAGCAGTCCCGACAATGTTACATGCTTCTTCGGTGACATCTTATTAAAGGATAACAAATTGGGTAAGAGCTTCTTTATGTAGTAGATGGAGATGACTGACTAAAAAAGCTATTCTATAATAAAACAAACATTTAAATGGGTTTCAAAAATAATATGATTGTCATGCTGGAATACTATGGCTCTTGATCTCAAGTTTTCTCTGTAAACTATGCAATTGTTGTCTGTTAACATTCTTCAGGGATTCTACTACTAAAAAAAATCATGATTGCTAAGAAATAACAATCCTCTGGCAATACTTTTTATTTCAAAGTGTTTGATATTTAGATGAGATTATGATAGTTAAGCTCACTGCTCCCTCTGCAAGAATGATGTAACTGATTATCTCTTCTGCATGCTCAATAACTGAAATTTGGAGACTAGAACTAGAAAGGTAACTGGGCCAAGAAGATAGCCAGTAGTGGCCCTCCAAAGTCAACAAGGATAGGATATGAGGGAACCCCTTCTACAGGATCGTACAACTTTGGTGAATCACCAAGCCTTCTGACAAAGGAGACAACTCCATCCCATAGGACAAGAATCAATAAACGTGCATGTACCAAAAGAGGATCATCAAAGAGGGAAATATCTCCCATGCTTTCACAGAAAGCAACATGGTCAAGCAAGACTGTGACCCATTCTGGAGGCTGACACTGACAGATGAACTGACAGGCTTTGTACATGGTTCCAAAAGTAATGCCTGAAGAAATTTAATTAACCTTGATACATAGCAAGAAGTTTTTGTTTTTCTGAGACAAAGTCTTGCTACGTAGTTAGGGCTGGTTTTGAATTCACTACATAGTCCAAACTGGCCTTGAACTGTAGTGATACACCTGCATCAGTTTCCCAAGTGCTGGGGTTACAGATGTGTACTACCACACCTGACTCCAAGAGGTGAATTTTGATTAACACAGGTCTCACTTTAACTTGGTCTTAAACATGCAGCAGGCAAGTATAACCAAAAGATATACGAAAACAGTATCATAATAATAAAAGCTAGATATACAAAGGGGCTCCAATGTCTGACCCCTTCTGGCAGTTTCTAACTAAACCAGTAGCTGACCACTATTATGGTTCATAAAGGCAGGAAAAAATAGAGTGGAATCTATGAAAGCTCAATAAGAGTCTTTAAATTCCTTCTCTCCATCTTCTTACAGTTAAAACTGGAGTGATATGACAAGAAATATCAGACTTACAAATAGCCTCTCTTTTACTGTTTCTGTCCCTCTTAAGAGCAGTTTTTAGACATGGCTCTTTCCCCAATCTGCTTTTCCATTTTAGTGCTCATTCTTTGATTATACATGCTTTTAATTTCTTGGAAAATTTATTTATTCTTGCAAACTAGTTAGGCTTGTACCAGCTAGGCTTGAGTACAGAAAAAATTGCTTCTTCCAAACTCCAAGTGATCATGCAGATGGAACCAGTGACAAATATGCCAGACTCCTTTTATTGGGATTCATTACACTGACTCTGTAAAAAGAGGGTTCAGAATGGCTAAACTGCAACATGACTTAGATTAGCTCTTTGGAGGCCACCCCTGGCTGCAATCTACCCTACAGTGACCCTTCTCGACTTTAAGCAGCTAGATGGATGTTATGCCCCTTCTTCCCTAACTGCAGTTAGGGATAGCTCTTGGGGCTGGGGGCGAATATTACAGACAGCTTAAGTTAAGCAGAAAAAAAAATTTTTTTTGAGACAGGTTATGTATGGCTATGTAGTTTAAACTAGTTTGAATTCACTATATAGCCCAGGCTGGCCTTGAACTCATGGAGATCCTCCTGCCTCAACACCCTGAGTGCTGAGATTAGAGATGTGCATCACCACACCTGGCTAAGTATAAATATTATAGGCAGTCTGATAGGGCTAAGTTCTTAGGTGGGTCAGGGCAGAAAATGAGAACACATCAAAACTGTGGCTGGCGGTACACCTGAAGAAATCACAATGCCTACATTTACATACTTCTCTAAGGGATAAAGGAAGTTCGGGATTATTTATACCACCTTTTGAGACTTCACATTGTTAATAAACCATTATATCATTAGGGGTGATCATCTTCTCTTACCCACTAAGATTACTAAGACTAAAACTAAAAACAAGACTAAGAAAGACTATAGATTATTGACCAAAGTTAATTATGTCATACATATGCCTTGCTACTACTGGATCGATAGTACCTAAGAGACTCTACTTGTAATCTTATTAATTGATCATAATTTTGCCCCCATGTTGTACCTGACTTTGCTCTATAAAGCTTCTTTTGAGAGTTGGGCTTGCTGGCAACCCATCTGCGACTCCTCCTGTCCCTCCAGAGCTATCCCTATCCCCCATTCCTTTTTCCCAGTAAATTTTCCTTTTTTTTGGGGGGAGGGGTATCAGGAATTAAACTCAGCACCTTATACTTGCCAGGCAGGTGCTTGTGCCACTGAGCTATATCCCTGGCAATTTTCCTACTCGTAAAAAAGAAAATCCTCTTTTAGATTCACAAGTCTGGAATAATTTAGTAACCTTGGATCTGAGATAAGATGCTCACGAATCACCTTCAGAACTGGCAACTTTTCAAGACTAACAAACTTACCTTAGTGCCCATCTGATTTGGTAATATCCTCACAAAAAATGCTATACAAGCCTCTTGGCAGTGCCAGGCAAGGAGAGAAGATGAGTTGTCCATGCTCCAACAGGCCAGCTTATTGCAAGTAACACTTTTTCCTCCCATTATATTCCATTTCTAATTATTGGTTCTCTCAGATGGCAGCAAACTGGACCTTTCATGGCTACATTAACCATTACTTTCTTGAAGATCCTTTCCCTGATTCCCAGACTCAGTCAGGTTATGAGGTCTATGTACACCACCACTCTATAATTTCCATTCCTTGAATTTTTGGATTTGCATTTCTCTCCCAAGTGACTGTAACTCCATAAAGGAAGAGATCTCGGTTTTTGCTTTTTTATAACTGCATCTCTGGCTTCATAATATGCATCTTGCAGTACTATAAGTGGTAGCCAAATATACTGATTCCATTGAACTGATTGCATGCATGCTTGAAATTGTAAGAAATTTGTAACTCTAAGCAGCTGAAATATATAGCTCTAAAACTACCAAATGAAAAAGTTAAAGATTGCTAGCCATTTATGGAATGGACAGTTTCTTGGAAGAGACATAGCAAGGCTGCAATGTAGAAGGGAGCAGGAGTAAGACTGACATCTATCCATCCATCCATCCATCCATCCATCCATCTATCCATCCATCCATCCGATAGCTTTGCTATGGCTCTGCCATGGTCCTGTAGGTTGTCAATAGAAGTCAACCATAGAAATGCAATCCTCCTATCCCTTTTATATTTTAAAGTGTACTAAAAAAACAAGAATATTTCATTAATCTACTTGAATTAGTAAGATATGCCTGAATTCTTGCTACCTAAGAAACTAGTGATATTCTAACTAATAAAGTCAATCCTAGATGTCCACATCCTTAATGTTTCTTTTCTAGAAAAGAGGACTCTGGAAATATATTAGGAAAAGATTAAAAAAAAAATATCTTCCAACTTACGGGGATACGAAATCCTTCTGCATAAGGAAAGCGGAAATTCCACACAGGTACCACAAGATATTATGCATGCTCCAATCGAGCAAAATGTCCATTATCACAAACATGGAGTGCCTCCAGAAAGTATTATAGCGGGGTTTCCCATCTCCTGTATGGCTCAGGCTCCAAGGTCTATGAGTTAGGGCTGTTATTACATCCTGATCGATTTGTCTCATCTGAAAAGAAATTTTGAAAACTAAAATAAAACCATGCTTTAAGTCTAAAATTTTTCATTAGTTTAGTTTAGCCAGTGTGCTCATTTGATGAGTGTTCATGGTACCCCAGCCCTGGGGTCATGCTAATTAGAAGCAAATGAGAATGGAATCTTGACTGTTTTAAACACACTGGACAGCTTTGATCCTTTCCAGGGCAAGGCTAAACAGAGTGGGAGCTGGGGATAGAGTGTGGGAAGTGAGGAGGAAATGAGAGAAGAAAGTGACTAGGAGTAGAGGTGGGGAGAAGGCAAAGTGGGAACAAGAGATGTGGGTGGAGGAGCTCCTTCAGTCTGCGGTCTCCCACTCCTCTGGAAAATGTCTCCTCGATTTTAAAGTCAGTTAAATTTGGGTGTCTGGAAGCCCCATGGCTGTACACATCCCCTGGCTAGCCTACACTCTGATAGGCTCTTCTCTTATTGTAATATTTTACATGTATGCTCTCTTGGTCACTGTGGAAGAATGCCACAAAACCAACTCATTATTTTGGAAGCTGGCAAATAAAGAGGAAAACCAGGAATTTTCTCAGTCTCTTGGGATAAAATTCTATCTAGCTAATCTAGTAAGAAGAAATAACAAACTATCAACATTTTGCAGCATTCTAAATTTACCAATCTGGCCACTGAGCATCAATAACAGCTAACAACAACCAGAGTCAACTAGATGTTATGTGCCCCCAACGAAAAACACCTTTACATTATCTTTCCAAGAAAAATCTGTCCTAACTTGTACCACCAACTTACTGGAAATGAAGAAGATAAAAATGTGAAAAAGTACATCAGTATAATTAGCAAATTCTATTATGGATAAATACTACCAAACAAATAACCTGGTTTTTCCAACAAATACATCAGAATAGAAAGGGGGAGGGAAGAGAGGGAAAGAACTGGCAGATTGTAAAATTTAAAATTGTACTGTTGGCCGGGGATTTAGCTCAGGGTGCAGTGCTTGCCTGGCAAGGGTGAGGTCCTGAGTTTGATTCCTGGTACCCAAAAGTAAATAAATACATAAATAAATAAATACATAAAACTTTGCTCAATCATTGAATCTAAAATAATAATAATAATAATAATAATAATAATAATAATAATAAAAGGAGGGCCAGATTTTAGCTCAAAGACACAAGTGCCTGCCTGGCAATTGCGAAGTCACGAGTTCAATCTCTGGTACCAAAAAAAATAAAAATAAGGTATGTACTATATATACCTTATCTGAGTCCTATTCAAATGAACAATTAAAAAAATTAAAACTATGCTATGTCTGAGACTAGTGAAAATTTATACAATGACTGATACTTAATGATGTTAAGGGCTTTTGTTGCAATGGCACAACTGCATTGTGACAACATTTTTATTTTTATTTACTTATTTATTTATTTTTGGTACCAGGGTCAAACTCACAACCTCACTCTTGCCCGGCAGGTGCTTACACCACTGAGCTAAATCCCTGGCCCTTGACTACATTTTTAAAAAATACTTTTTAAAGATATTTAATACAATTTTTATGGATGGAATAATAAGCTTTGCTTAAAAATAGCCTTGGGGAAGATCAACAGGGGTATGGACGAGACAAACTGGATCATGGTTAAAAGGGGAGTTAATTGTATTATTACTATTACTATTATTATTTTGTAGATACAGTGTTGTTATGTAGCCCAGGAAGGGCTCTGGACCCAGCATTCTTAGTACTGGGATTATTCATGTGAATATATCCCTGGCTTACACATATTTTGAATATGCTCCATAATTAAAGAGTTTTTCCTAAGGAATGCTTTAGGAAGTAGGGCTAAGCCAGGCGTGGTGGCTCACATCCGTAATCCCAGCATTTGAGAGGCTGAGGCAGGAGGATCATTGCGAATTCGAGACCAGCCAAGGCTACAAAATTAGCTTAAGGTTAGCCTGAACTACATTAGAGAGACCCTGCCTCAAAAAAAAAAAAAAAAAAAAAAAAGTAAGGCTACATAATTCTTTTCCATTCTGAGAATGTTTATTACCAAAGTAATCTAAATGAGCCTATAAACATGAGAGGCCAAAGAGAAAACATCCCCCCAACCCACCCATGTTGAACTTGGCCTTGTGCCTGCTAAGAAAATGTTCTACCATTGAGTGACAACTCCTGCCCCACCATGGCATTTATAAATGGGGTTCAAGAGCATTCTCTTTTGGATTTCTCTTGTTAATTTTAACAGAAGTTCTTCACTATGATCTTGATTCGGTCAGTTTAAGAGGCATCCCCCATTGCTATTATCTCCCTTAACTATTATCTCCCTTAACTAACCTTAATACTGTGTACAAGAAATATGTTGACTTTTACCTTATAGATAACTTCTGGCAAGAATGAACACACCATACTATTATTATACAGTTGCGGAAATTCCATATATAGCTTCTTGAGAGCATGAGTTGCCTGTAGAACAAATTCACATTATTTAAAATCTACTGCTCAGTAACTACTGTATGGTAAGCACAACCACACCAAATAAGTCAAAAGTTTATTAAGACTTCTTATGGAGATGTCCAAAGTGTTGACAAATCCACTGTCCACATCAGCAAACAAGAAAGAGAGTAGTCAGGGTGCAGCTACTTCAACATCTTCCTGAGAGGATCACCCCCGGTGTCATGTTTTTGGAAGGTGGCAGGCTACAGGCCAGAGGAGGCAGGAGGCAAACTTTTACAATCCTTTTCTTATATTCTGATTTAGCCACCAGAAAGTCTTTTTATGGCCACAACTCAACACCTTCTGCTTTTCCTAAACAAAATTGGAGGCTGGGAACTGCAGGAAGCTCTGCTCAGTGCAGGGGAAAGTGAACACTCATCATTCATCACCAACATGGAGGAAGAAGTAATGGGAAGGGGTGCTGGGAAGAGTGTGAAGTCTCCCAATTCTTCCCAAAAGGAACAGAAGTTTCTTTTTATAAGTGTCTAGCTAACCAATGAGAAACAGATGAGAGAATTTAAACACTAACACTATGTAACTACTACTGAATTAACATCAACAGTAGGTGGTGACACAAGAGATGCCCAGAGATTATGTGTGTCATAGCTCTGGAAGTACTGCTTATTTCTGGCAGGTGATACACACCTACAATCAAATATTAGCAACAAAATGTATTTCCCCCAAAATAAGATAGAACATACAAATTAATCATAGCATGCTTCCCCTTCATTAATATAACTTAGTGAGGTACAGGATCAAAGGTATTTTCTTGATGTTTGAACTAACACAGTGTACTGCATGTTCCCCTGTTTACATGGCAGTTTCCTTCATTAGTATCATTTTGTCCATAGGAAGACCAGATCATGTCAAGGTTGACATCACTCTGTAGTGAGTGCAGAGCTCAGTCAAAGTCTGTTGGACTCCACAGGTCATGATCCTGGCTACTGGGCTCTACTAGCCCAATTTTTTGCCTACACTTGCCCCTCTGTATTACTATCTCAGGGAGTTAGATTGCTACATTCTAACTAACCTTGACTACATACCTGGTGAATGCCCATTTAGAACTCAAATAACTTTCAATTTTTCTTCTTGTATCTCCCCCTCCCCATGATTCTACAGTAACAGAAAAGCATGAAGATTATTAGTACATTGGGTAAAATGTAGGAGCTATGGGGTTTCCAAATATGGCCAGCAGCAGCAGCAGCAAAGCTGGAGGCTCATTAAAGACACATGCTTTGGGGCTGGAGATTTAGCTCAGTGACATAAGCGCCTGCCTTGCAAGCAGACAGTTGTGAGTTCGATCCCTGGTACCGATAAAAAAAAAAAAAAAAGACACATGTTTCTTGGATTGTAGCCCGGCACTACAGCACATATATATGGCTTAGGAATTCTTATTTTAAAATGTTTCCAGGCAATTTGGATAACTGGAAAACTTAAGACACATACAAGAATGAGTTTACCATTCTCTTCTTTTTTCAAAAATGGGAGTTTAATAAAATCAGGGTATCTATTTATGCTGATATTCTAGCTTTTAAGAATTGGTTTAAACTAGTTCCTGGAATTAATAAAAATTTAACATAATCAGAATTCTCCACCTGTAAATGACTACTTATAAACATTGCTAAAGGACAAACACTCGAGTTGCCAAAATGGGAGGAAAAATTATTTGTACTTGAAAAGTAGGTATAAAAGAACAAATACAACCAGGCATGGTGGTGCATGCCTGTAATCCCAGCACTCAGGAGGCTGAAGCAGGAGGACTGCCTCGAGTTCAGGGCCAGATTGGACTACATAGTGTGCTCAAGGTTACCAAAACTATATAGTGAGATCTTGTCTCAAAAAATAAAAAACAGGACCAGAAATATAGCTCAGTAACACAGTGCCTGCCTGGCAAGCACAAGGCCCTGAGTTTCATTCCCAAAACAAACACAACAAATGTAATTAGGACCATATTTTCTCATTTCCATTTTAATATATTTCTACATTCTCTGTAAAAGTGTACATTCTCAAACTGAAGCAAAATTTTACTCAGCAACATCATATATATTTGAAAATAATATGGTTATTTTTTGATAAAAATAATATTACTGAAATCACTGAATAACAAAACTGTACCTAACAAACAGAAATCATTCAGAGGGACACATCTATTTAAAAGAGATATATTATGTGCTGTTAGCTACTAGAAGCTTCAAATACAAAGCTCTGTTTAAATGCAGTGCACTTAACTCTTCAGCCGGATCAAACTGGTCTTACGTACACAAAGCCTGTATTCCCATTTTGGAGGTTACTCTATTGCAGAAGTGTCTCTTTGTACTATTTACTTAATATTCTTTTGTAAATGCCTTATGGAAGTAAATGAAACTTTATTCTTTCATTTTGTGCTGATTGTGGAATGTCAGGAGATATTAAAATGGTCCATAAAAGCATAAGATAGTTTCATAACTTATTGTTTCTTTCAAGATGTGAATTTGTGCATTGTATACTTCTACTAAGTAAATATGTTATAATCTGTAAAACTAAAAAAATCCTTCTGGAAGTGATTAACAATTAAATAAGATGACCTTTAACAAAGTGAAGTCCACAAAATAAACTGTACCATATTTGCGTGGCCTTTGACATCAAAAAAGATGGTGAGGTTATGGCTGAGGCACTCTGTGACGGCTTCCCTTAGGGTAGGGATCTTCTCGTCGGGGAAATCATTCCTACGAGAGAGGGAAAAGCAATGAACATTGTAGGAAACACAGCAAATTTGAGTGGGACAGACACTTTGCAATGCCTCCCCAACAAGAGAGAAGACTGTTTCTCCCCGCAACTTTCTTTCTTCAACCTTACCAAGGCCAGGGATAACTTACTGTAGGTACTTGAGCCACATTACATTGTATTCTTGACCAATGAATGATAGCAATGGCAAACATCATTCAGGAAGTCACTGAATTGATAACATTTTGGAAAACTCAGAAACTTAATTTTAAATTAATTTCCCCAACAAGAAAAATTCTACACAGAAGAAATTCTTAGAAATATATAAATCTGTTAACTGTACTTCTGTGCATTTATTTAAGTGGAACTGCTTGAAATAATTTTCTACAATATAATCTTATGGTAGAGAAAATGAAGATTAAGTGCTGAAAACAAGAAATCAACTGTTTTCTCATAATAAAATTTCACCCCAAATGATTTAACTTGTTGTACATTCAATTACATCATTTCATCTCTAGGGTTTTGATATAAAAAATGGGTAATAATTTAAGCATTACAGGCATTCTTGCCAGTCATTCTAGTTGTTATGGATTAAAAACTGGTGATCAACTTAATGCCAGCTGAATTAAATCAGCACGGTAGTGTAGATGTTCCACCTGAGGAAGGCTGCCAGCATAAACAGAGATGTGGAGAAGACGAGTGAGGCACTGTGGGTTTCTGTAAGTGTTGCAGTTGGAGCCGTTTGTTCTCCTGGAGGAGCTCATCATGACTAGCTGCCCCAGTGTGAGTTTGACCATTGTCACTGGAGGAGCTTGGGACCTTGCTGGCGAGTGGCCTGTGGTTCACTTTGGGGGAGCTCTGGTCCTTGCATCAAGCATTGCTTCCTGGCTCTGGAGGGGAAGATGTATGCTGTTTAATTGCCAGGAGAAACTTGTCATGCTAGCTTTCTGGCATGTACTCGACTGTTCTTATCATTGGAGGAGCTTGGGACCTCTGTGTCGCTGAGGATGGCTGTGGTGCTTTTCAGGGCAGCCCTGGTTCTTATTTTGAGTGTGACTTCTCGGCTCCAGTGTAGAACCCTCAACCTACCATCATAGCTCCTTCACCCTGCTAGCACAGACTTTCTAGCTTTTGCCGCTGACCTTTGTGGAGGTTCCCAGCATAGATCCGTAAGAGACTGGTGTGTGTCCTTCTCGTGGGCTCTAGACCTCCAGTTGGACTTGTGGGAGGCACTGTCATGGGCTCTAGGTCTTCATCTAGACTCATTCAGGACATTGCTGTGGGATCCAGGCCCTTGGCTGAAATTCTGGGTCTTGAGCGTTGTGGAGAGATTTCCTGCACTTTCTTGTGTTAAAACTCTGGGTGACCATCATAAAATAATATTATAAATTCTATGTCCTGATTTTAATTGTTCTCCTCACAACCCTTGTCTACGCTAGTCCATGTCTATTCTCTGAGAAAAGAGACCTATATTTGCTGTTGTTTTGGGCAATCTTAGTTTCACACTACCCTCTCAGGTTGAACAAGGATCTCACTACACTGAGCATAAGGAAAGACAACCTATTCTACTTGTGGAGCAAAGCCTTAAAAATAGTAATATGGTACATCAACTCCAACATGGAAGTGCTTTCTTATCCAATATGGTAGCTTCTTAAAGGATTTTTCAGGGTGATGCTGATTCCAACTATTTTTTGCTTTAAAAATTACTGTTGGGTCAGACATGGTGGTGTATGCCTATAATCCTAGCACTTGGGAGGCTGACATAGGAAAGTTTACAAGTTTGAGGCCAGCCTGGGCTACCTAGTGAGTTCAAACCCACCCTGGATTACATAGTGAGACCCTGTACAAAAAAAAAAAAAAAAAAGTTTTTTTATCTTGAACCTTCTATCTTATTACTAGAGGTATAATGTCACTATAAAATTAAAGCCAGCTTTCCAAGAGTATAATACTTGATTTATTAGATCACAGAACTGTTTTTCTTGTAAACTTATAGAACTGGCTTATCTATCTATCTTCCATCCATTCATTCATCTACCCACTCATCCACCCATCCATCTATTCTTTGGAAACTATTAGTTTACACTATATAGGTGATTAAATCAGACATCTGAAAGAACTTCCAGCCCTGCAGTGTTGAGAAACAGAAAGGATAGACAGCAACAACATAGTACAGCAAATGCTTCTTTGGAGTGGAAATTGGATCTGTGGCTTCTTAAAGAACTAGTTATTTGCCCTTGAATAAGTCACTTAACACTTTTGGGATAACCTCTTAAAAGCTGGATTAATGTAGAACTATGTTATTACCTATGACTAGTTAAGTTTCAAATTAAAAATTCACATCCACACTCATACTAGTCACCTGTTAAGCTGTTAACAGCCACGTTTGGTTACCATAATGGACAGTGCTAAAATAGACCCTTTGCATCATGGCTAGACCGTGCTATTCTGGATGATTTCTAGGATACTTTCTACTCCTCAAATTCTCAAAAATTTGTTATAAAAATCTGAAGGTTAAAAGGTGATAACTTCCTAATATTTTAAAGAATACATTATGTGTTTCTTGGTACACCTAAAGGCAAGAAGACTGACAAGCAGTTTCTTTCTTTTGGCCTTATAACTGAGTCTACAATTTACATGACAGTACAAAATAACCTTTATATTAATGACTAGATAGAGTACTGTCTTGAGAATAATTCTGAGGCCAAATTTGGCCTCAGTGGAAAAGATTAAAAATACACATATAGCATGTCTGTTATTCTTGGCACCAGCTTATTACTTGGAAACCTGTATACAGTCCAAAACAAAGCAAATCTCCTGGAGCAAAAGATCTAATTAGAAGGTGCCAATGTTGATCTGTGATCTCCAGGAAAGGCTAAAGGATATGTTTAAGTAACAATAAATAGGTTACCTGAGTCTGTGATTTGCTGCAGGATTAAGTTTCCTAACTTGTTCAAATGTCAAATCACACAACCGACCAGTTCCATCTGTTGTCCTGTCTACTGTGTTATCGTGCATTAAGACAGGAATGCCGTCAGAGGTAAACTCGATGTCCAACTCCACACCTGTTGCTCCATTCTTAGCTGCCTTAACAAAAACATCAACAACGTTAATGTCAAATGGCCACAGACATCATTTTGCATCTAAACACTCAAAAGGACCAGCAGGGCTGGATAAATTGACAGCGACTCTTACTGAGTCGCCTTTCAAATAGCAACCTGATTCACATGGATGTAAATCTTGCCTCGACCTCTACACTTGCAGTGTCTTTACTTAATTTTCGTACTCGTCCTAATCTCGCATTAGTAGATAAAGAGTCTTTGTAAGTTTTCTCTGGATGCTTTAAGTTACATAGTTCCCCAATGGCTTAACAAATTCTCTTATTTACCTACATTCTCTGTTGGTGTAACTCTGATGAGTCCCCTATGTTTGTTATGGCAAAGTATATATCACACTACTTTGGTATAAATACGATGAGTCAGTTTTTGTTGATTTAAGTGCATTCCCTGTAAAGAAACACCATGCCTGTTTCTAGAGATTAGTTTGTTTATATCTACATCACTGGCTGTTGGCCAAGAAACTGGTACACTTGATACAATATATTAAAAGTTTATCCAAAAAATTTAAGATTGGGTGTGTAGCTCACTGATACAGCACCTGCCCAGCACGCTAAAAGCTCTAGGTCTGATGCCTACAAAAGAAAAATGAATCAGTTAGTAAGTAAAAGAACATTAAATTCGAGATGCTAATTTTACTTTCTTGGCTTCATCACCATGAAGGCGTGAAATGCTCATTGTAATCAAGATTTTTAATTAAAACAATGTTTTAAATCATGGTGCACTGCCACCACACATGGTATAATGAAACACAACAGGATATTGATCTAATTACATTTCTCCTTTTCATTCTTTTCCTTCCTGTGCTTGCTTTGGCAGCACGTATACAATCTTTTTGTTCCTTTTCCAGAAGTAATACCCTTCCTAAGCCATGTGCGCTTATAATCCCACACATTGGATTCTTAGTCTGGAAGTCTGAGGCAGAAAGATCATTAGTTTGAGTCCAATGTTTCCAGAAGTAATGACCAGCTGTAATAGTTGCTATGTTGTGTCAATATGAAAAGGTCCTAAAGTTTAAGTTATTCAGCAGAGGGCCAGGGTCCTTACTTTGGAACATCCTCAGCCTGTGCAAGAAGGCAGGCAGATGCTGTGAGTGCTACACCTACCAGAGGGAAGTAGTTCACATATAATAAAATGCAAATGAGGAAGGACTGATGGCTGGTTCTTTGTAGGAGTTCCAGTGGCTGCCTTCACCTTGGATGTCTCCTGGCTTCTGGCACAGACTGTTCTGCTTCTGCCTAGGACTCTTCAGGCTTCTGGCGTAGCTTCTTCAGTGTTCTGTTGCAGACCCATTGGCCTCCTGATATGGGCTCTTATGGGACATTGCAGTGAGCTCTAGACACTGGACTGAATCCTTCGGTCTCCAGTGTGCAGACACCCTTTGTGCACTTCCTCATCCAACTCTGGCTGACTATCATAGGCCAATCTTACTAATTTCTTATATCTTGTATTATATCAATTTCTCTAGTAAATAAGATGGTATATCTGACTGATATACCATCCTAAAGTTGGTGTGGCTTATTGCCATGTCATTTCCTTATAGGTCATTATATATTTACTGCACATGTAAGTAACCACAAAAAACATACAGCACTGTGCTGATATGCAGTAAGCATTCAATAATCTTAGCCATTGCCATTAATTGTGTCCTTTTAAATTCATGTCTAAAAGTAATGTCAAATACAGGCATATACTTTATGGTTAGATATTTTTCCTTATTTGAGTATTTTTCTACCCCCATGTTACAAAGACATAGAACTATTATTTTCTTCTAAGCTTGAAGATCTGATTTTCAGCTATGTGACCAACATATCGCCCCACAAAATAATTCAATTCTACTACTAATTAGCTATGTTATCTAGGCCAAGTTATGTATCTACTCTAGCCATCATTCCACTGTTAAGATAATGGCTTCATTTCATATGTTTGGTCAAGACATATGATAGTGCACACTGGAGATGGACATGTATATTACACTGATCTTAAGATGGGAAAACATTACTTTTCCAGGTTAAGTATATGTGATTTGTAACCTAAATGTATATAATTGTTATTGTAGCATATAACACTTTATAGCATAGTAGTATAATATTAAAGTTTTATCAGTCTCTAGTAAAATAATACTTCTATAATGCTTCTAGGAGTTGTGAGATTTTAGAAATAATGTATGCAAATTATTAAGTTTGGTACCTGGCTCTGAGCTGACATTTCCCTTAAGCAATAATGATTAGAAAAAATTAAGTCTGATGAAAAAACCATTATAATAATGTTTACATTTGTACAGGTTAAAAAAGTTTAACAAAGTTAAAATGAGAAAAAAAAAACCCAAAGTTAAAACATATTTTTCCTAAGTTAAAGTCAGCATAATGTACTGGTGAATTTTATAACATAAAACCAAATCAGATTTTTAGTACACTTCTCTCACTATTCCGTAAGTTTTATCCTTATTCCTTGACATTGGCACCATAATTAGATTCAATTATACTTTTATTCATTAGGGCTGTCATGCATACACACACACAAATGGTGACACACAGTATTTTTTACAGAAGTACTAAAATTAATAAAGAGTTCATATATTTGCCTTTTCTGAGTTGTTTATTAAAGTCAAGACCAAAAGACAGAACAAAAACTCTATAAAAGAAATACCACTTCAGAGTCTCTTGAGAGCAAATCTTCTAAGGGCTGCATTCAACTTATTCCAGCTACAGAAACAAATAATGAACACTCTTGACTCTTACCTATTAGCATTTCTTTAATCTTTTCCTTTATTAAGGTATTATTACATTTCCTTCTACAAATACAAATTGCAAATAAACAAGTATACAACACAATTTTATTAAATTTTTACTTTATTTAAAAATATTTGAAACTATAGCAATGTAGTAATATACTGTAATAGCAGAAGGGCCAAAGTGTATGAATAAAAATCAGATTGCTGGCTACTATGAGCAGAGGTAGAGTGGTGCTGACTTCAAAGGCATCACTAAAGAATACTTTGGGAAACGGACTGAGGCAGTGCCTACTCAGGTATTTTATGAAACCCTGCCAAATTATGCACATAAAATGTATATATTTTCATGCATGTAAACTATACTTTGATAAAGCTGACTTCAGAAGCATGTTTGTTCCAACAAACTCATTAAGGCTATACAGCTGTATATACAGCTTACACCTGTAATCCCGTCACTCAGAAAGCTGAGGCAGGAGGATTGTCACAAGTTCAAGACCACTTTGAACTAAATACTGATACCGTCTCACTGAAAAATAGTTCCACCATTTTTTTTTTAACACAAGATTGCACTCTGTAGTTCAAATTGGCCTTGAACTTGCAGTGACTCTCCTGTCTCAGCCTCCCAAGGGCTAGGATTACAAGTGTATGCTGTCATACCTGACTGAAAAGTATCTCTTAAACATACATCCCTACAACTTCATACATAGACTTTAATATTTACTGACAGTAAAGACAATTACAGACTCTACTACCAAACTAAAGAGTGACAGTATTCTTGTAAATCTGACCAAATTCAGAATTGTGATTTTTAAAATTTGAAATGTTACTTCTGTATCTTACAATTCACCCATGTCAACTGCACAACTCAAAGATGCTTCAGTATATCTGCAGAGTTTCATAATCATTACAATAATTTTTTCATTACTCTCCAAAAGAAACCCCTTTTAGCTGTCTGAATGTCTCCCTCTAACCCGAGTAACCTTTAATTTACTTTCTATTTCCATGGATTTGCCTATTCTGAGCATTATACTTCATGGAATTCTATAATATGTCATCTACTGTGACTCACTTCTTTCACTTAGCATGTTCCCAAGGTTTACCTATATGCAGCAGGTATCAGGAACTTCATTCTTTTTATGGCTGAACAATATTGCATCTTGTGAATGCACCAACCTTTACTGATCCATTCATCACTTGGTGGACATTCATGCCATTTCCGCCTTTTGGTTATTGTAAATAATGCTGTTATGAACATCTATGCATAAGTTTGTATCTGCATGTTTTCATTTTGAGTACATATCTTGGAGTCCAATTGCAGGATCAATATGGTAATTATTTTTTATTTTGGGGGGAACTAGCAGTCAAACTCAGGACCTTGTGCTTGCCAGGCATTTATTCGTTTTTGTTTTGTTTTGTTTTGTTTTTGAGACAGGATCCCCATCTGTAATTCAGGCTGGCTTGAATTCACTATGTCTTGGCCTCACAAGTGTTGGGATTATAGACAAGCACCACCACGCCTAGTTTATTTAACGTTTTAAGGAACTGCTAGGCTTTTTTTTCCCTACCAGTAGAATATGAAAATTCCAGTTTCTACAAAACCCTTTCCTCCTTCTGATCTGCTTTGTTGTTTTGTTTTACTCTCTTAAAAAAAAAAAAAAAAAAAAACTTTCCAACATGCTTCTTTTTATTACAACCTCCCCAGTGGGTATGAAGTGGTAGTTCTGATTTGCATTTCCATGATGGATACCAATACTGAAACTTTCTCCAGTGGACTTCTTGGCTATTTATAAGTCACAATTCTTCCAACAAACATTTATTGGGTACCTAACTATGTACCATGTACTTTTCTAAGCAGTGAGATAGTGGTAAGAGAGAAGGACCGTGGTTCTTATATTTTAGTGGGAAGAAACACATTGCAGACACACTGTATGTATTATGACAGTGAAAAATATTTCAAAGAAAAAAATGAAGGGTAATGTGAAGATAAGGGATAGCTGGGAGTGTCACTAGATAAGGCAGCCAGAAAAGGACTCTTTGACAAAAGACAGCTAACCATAAAAACACCCGAGAGAGGTTTCTAAACAGAGGAAACAGCAACTAAGTTCACACTAATGCACCAAGGTAGAAGGGAGCCACTGAGTTGGCAGAAGTTGATTGCTTCCCCAAATCTATTCCCTTTTTCTCCTGTTCTTGTCTCCATGTTCAGCTCTCTCCTATGCTCAGATTACGTAGACTAT